AAACAATAACTGCAGAACGAGTTTAGATAGCAACAACACTACAACCAACAAAATACAAACACCATCGCAGCCACAACCAGCAGCGCCAATGTCAACACAAGGGAAAACCACTCGTAACTATAATTTTCGATACTGAACTAAATGTTATCTTTCAGAATATACAAAGTATAGGCAATAAACTTCATCTAGTCGAGCACTTCCTACAAGACTTAAACATAGATATACTGCTATTGTCAGAAGTATGGAAAAATAAGAACTATTGTGATATGATTTCGTTGTCTGGATACAGAATGGCTTCCACCTTTTGTCGTAAAACGCATGAAGGGGGAGGTGTTTGTGCAATTATTAAGGATAGTTTAGAATATCTTGAGTGTCAAGATATAAACAATTATACTATAGAATTTATAATAGAATTTAGTGCCGTAGAAATACCGAAATTAAATTGTATTTTCATTGGTTTATACAGAGCAGACCGACACATTAATACATTTTTTGAACAGCTAGAGAAAGTGTTACATAAATTAAACACTAAATACAAAAATAAATATATTATATTGGGAGGTGACTTCAATATAAACATTTTGAACAAAAATAAACAGACGGAGAATCTTATCAACTTAATGTTTTCAAACAATCTCAAACAGATTATCAGAGAACCAACACGTGTATCAAAAGGCTCCTCAACCTGCATCGATCTACTCTTCACTAACCACATGCCCATTATTAATAAAGCCAGCGTCCAAGATTATGGTCTCTCTGATCATAAGGGTATTACACTAAAAATAAAATCGAAACACTCTTATCCTAATAATAACACAACCTGGTACTTACAGAAAAGACTATTCACAGAAAGGAACATATTACATTTTAACACTTCATTAAATGACATAAAATGGCACGAAATAATCAACACACACAACAATTTAAACACCAATTACGATTTATTTCTCAATATATTGACTAAATTACTTAATACACACATACCGATAAAAAAGCTGAAAATAAATAATAAACCAAAAAAAGAATGGCTCACTACCGGCCTTAGGAAATCATGTGCACACAAAAGAAAATTAAGGGCCTTTCTGAATGTGAATGATAATGATATTATACATAAATTTTATAAAAAGTATAGCCAAACCCTAAAGCGTAGTGTAAACATATCAAAAAAACTTGATTTTTGTAAACAAATGGAAAACTCCGATAATAAAACAAAAACAATGTGGAATATCATAAATCAAAAAACAGGTAAACAAAAAAAAAGACTCCCTCCACAAAATATATCATTAAAAATTAACAACCACATTGTAACATGTCCAACAACTATTTGCAACAATTTCAGTGAGTATTTTGCTACTGTGGGTATGGGCACGAATAACAATAAAACCAACAAAAACAGTGCGCTGGGTCGACCCGTCATAAACTCACAAATGTGCTCCATGTACTTGCGTCCTGTAGATAGAAAAGAAATAATCGACATAATACGCTCAATTAAAAATACACACAGCTGTGGCATAGATGAAATCCCCCCAATTCTATTGAAACAGTGTGCAGAAAAACTGTCAATACCGCTCACATTTTTAGTTAATCAAAGCCTTCAAGATGGCCAATTTCCAGACCCCCTAAAGATATCAATAATCAAACCGATACACAAAAAAGGCGACACCTACACACCTAGTCATTATAGGCCTATTGCTCTGTTACCCACATTTTCGAAAGTATTTGAAAAAACAATGTGTAACAGATTATACGATTTTTTAGAAAAATATAACATTCTCGATGATAGTCAAAATGGATTTAGAAAATCAAGATCAACTACACTAGCAGTATATAAGTATATCCAGACTACCATAAAACATATAAATGACAAAAAACATGTACTCGGAGTATTACTTGACATGACGAAAGCCTATGACAAAGTATTGTACGACATTCTTTTGAATAAACTAAGCGGTTCTGGTATTCGCGGCCCAGCTTACACATGGTTTCGATCATATTTAGAAAATAGATCACAAATGGTCCAAATTGACCATTTCGACCCCAATACGAATGAGGTTAAAATAGTCCGGTCTGAAAAAAGGAACATAAAGTGTTCAATCCCGCAGGGCAGCGTGTTGGGTTGTGTGCTATTTCTGATATACATCAACGACTTACCAAAAGTACTAAACAAGGAACATACATTACCTGTCCTATTTGCTGATGATATATCAATACTAATTACTTATGACAAAACCACAAAGCCGACACCACTACTTCAGGAAACTCTAGATACAGTAAATAACTGGCTCAACGACCATAACTTAGAAATTAACTATAACAAAACAAAAACTATCCAATTTAGAACATACAGAAACACCCCCGTAAACATCGACACAACATACAATGGCACACAACTAGAAACTGTAGATACATTCAAATTACTTGGTATAACTATAGACACACACATCAACTGGAAAGCACACATCGAACATACAAAAAATAAACTGTCTCGATTTACATATGCTCTATTCCAACTTAAATGCAGCACAAACGAAAAAACCGCACTGTCAGCATACTACGCATACGCATACTCCTGGTTACGATACGGCATTATGTTGTGGGGAAACAGTGTACACTTTCAGGATTTATTTATATTACAAAAGAAATGTATTAGAATTATCGGACAAATTGGAAATCGTGATAGTTGTAGGCCCTTCTTCATTAAATATAACATCCTCACACTACCATCATTATACATATTTGACATCTGCATATTTGTATCCAAGAACATGAGTCACTTCGCGAGAGTAAAAGACAATCACAATTTAAACACACGCCACAGAGACAGACTATACCTACCACCATCAAGAATTAAAATGCTACACCAGAGCCCTTACTACATGGCTGTAAAAATATACAACAAATTACCTATCCACATAAAAAATGAAACGAAGACTACACTATTCATTAAAAAACTAAAAGCATTCTTAATTACAAAATGTTTCTATTCTGTTAAAGAATACATTGAGGAAAAAAACACTTAACAAACTACATTTCTTATTACACGGAAAACAGAAAGCATATACCTAAGTACAAATCATAAAAAGAAAAATCGGTCGTGATGCTCGGAAATGCTAGGGACAGTAGGAAAATGTGTATATGTATTAGTGATGTAGAATGTCGGGTGCCTTCGTATTTTTGCATGCTTTATTTGATTGTTATACTGTACTATTAAGTCACTTATTTTGTATTGTTCAAAAAATGCTTGTACTTGTGTAACAATTTATTCTTCTGCGTTCTCTCTCAAATTTTTGCAATGCCTGAAGAAGGCTTCTGAGTTGGGACTACTACATATAATATTATAAGATCATTGATGTACACTTGGTTGGCAAATAAAGATTTGATTTGATTTGATTTGATTTGATCTGTAAAAAGCAAAATGCGAGCAAGTTGTCCCCTCAGAACGCTTATAGCACTAGTTATGTTGGTTCATTCGGTTGGAATGGAACTACAAATGAGGTTTTCCTTGATACAGTTACTTTACCGTTTACTTCTGTGAAACTAAGTAAACTATTTGAGAGATCTTACTCCATTTCACACAAAATGGTATCATCTATTGTGTTATTGTTTAACACGAAATAAATATTAATCGGTAGTTTGCTTTGAAAATAATAATCAAAAACTTCTAAGGTTAAAGTTGGTCAGTCAGTCTAATCTATAGGCACAGTACACTACCTTTTTTTTTTCCTGTGCGGAAATCCAATCGGATATCACTCACCGGGGTGATTATTTCGGACTCGAACCGACCAAAAACGTACGCCGTCTCGGGTACCAGTAGCCGGGGAACCAGGTGTCCCCTAGAAAGGAAATCCCTGGTACCCCGACGTACCTCGGGCCATCCACGGCGTGTAAATGGCCCCCTCCTGTGTGGGAACCCCCATGTTCCCTTTGTGCTCCCAAAAGGGGCGCGCGCGCTCGGCAACGCGACTCGCCGCCATTCCGGCCTACTTCTCATCTGTCAACCCCAGGCCTGCGCTTATGGAGGCGGAGGTTCTGCGACCTCCGGCGCCCGAGTCGTCTGCGGTACCTGGTCCGTTCCCGGGCCTAGCGGGCCGGGAGAGTTCTAAACCTCTCCTGGTCCCGCTCCGGCATCTCCTTCGCAAGCATAACTTGCTCGCAAAAGGAGACGGCGGAGTTCCACGCACTCTCGCTCCGTACCATGGCGGCAATCATACTACCGAGTGAGAGGACTCCCACCCCGATTGCCACCACGAGGTCACGCCACTGCTCCACCCACGCCGGGCATTCTGCCAACGTGTGCAGGGCCGTGTCCACGGTCCGGCCATCGCAGGGGTGGCACTCAGGCGTTGGCTCCTTGCGGATCAGACACAGGTGATCTCCGAAACAACCTTTCCCGGTGATCACCTGCGTCAGTCGATATGAGAGGGTTCCGTGACGCCTCTCGAGCCAATCCTCCATAACGGGTCTTAACGCCGCAATAACGGCATGCCCGGCGCTCGGTTGCCCAAGTCGTTCCTTCAACTCCTCTACAAGGACCTGGCGGAGCTGGGATTTCTGATCCTCGATTTCTCGAGTGTCAGGACTCAGACCCAACTCCCGCGCCTCCTTGCGCCACCGATACAAAGCCGCAAGGGCTCTCGCCTCCAGGTCCCACGGTGGAGTTCCGGCCAGGGAAGGTAGAATGCACGGAATGTGCTGTGCATTTTTGATTTTGCCAGAAGTCGTTGGAGAACAAACAAGAGAGAACATTACAAAGCTCTCTTGTGAAGCTCCGCAACATTTATCGGTGCAGTAAGGTTAAAAGTTTGATTGAGGCTCTAAATATAAATAAAAATAAATTAAATCAGGTCTACTTTGTTTTTTTTTTTATTCCTCCTCGCTAAATAAAGGCACTATGTCGAAGATAAATTGTACTTCGACATAATGAGATCCTGTCACAACTTACTAAGAGTTTTTATTACGCCTGTATGTTACCTAAAACTTATAACCTTTATAATTTTCAGTTCCCTGTGAATGTGACACCACTTATGAACGAAGAAAACTATTGGGGATGTTTTTACAATTTCCCGGAGTTATATGAAGATGTATACTCGCCTGTAGTTGGTATTCGTGAACTGGAAGACGTTCCCCCCATTGAAAACGGTGTCCTGACCAGAGACTTAGTCACTGCTTGCTTGACTTATTTGAAACGAACGCCAATACTCGGAGACTATGCTTACATAAAATTGGATCTTTCTTCAAAGGTAATGAAGACCGAAGTTACCGACTCGATAATTTAATATCTTATATTCTTTTATTATTATGCGCATCTATTTAAGTTAGTTTTAAATCTAATTTAAGGTATCGGAATTAAGCTTCAGTAGCATAGTTGTTTGATTTGTAATATAATTAACGATCGCGGGTTATAAACCCACCCAGTATAACCCCGAAGAGAACCGACTTCAAACAAAAGCATTAAGCTTAGCTGAAGGAATAAAAAATACTAGTAATTTGAATACCCTTGCTAGCTGTGTAGTAACAGCCTAGAAAAAAAACTTCAAAACGAAGCACTACTCAGCGAATTTTTACAAAAGACCTCCACCTTCATGCGTACAAGATTCAGATTACTCAGCAGCTCAAACTAGCAGACCATGGAAAGCGCCGGGAATTTCAACGGGTAATGGAGCAAAGTGAAGTCGATGCCAATTTTTCGAAAAAAAAGGAATCTTCTCCGATGAAGCGCATTTCACTCTGAATGGCTACGTGAATACACATAATTTTTTAATTTGGGGCTCAGAAAAACCTCTTGTAATCTATGAGAAACAAATACACCCACAACGAGCAACTCTCTGGTGCGGATTTTGGTCAGGCGGCGTAATTGGGCCTTACTTTTTTGAAGATGAGGGCGAAATTGCAGTGACTGTGAACAATGTGAATATGATAACGTAGTCCTTGTAGCCTCAACTGGACGGTATGGATCTGGACAACATGTGGTTTCAGAAGGACGGCGCCACCTGCCACACTGCCCATGAAACAATCGACTCATTGCAGCAACGATTTCCAAAACAGAAATTCTGATGTCAACTGGCCACCAAGAACGTGTGCTTTAACGCGTTTTTTTCTTTGGAGTTTAGAGAAATCTCGGGTTTATGCTAATAAACCAGAAACAATTCCTGAGCTCAAATCAGAGATCCAACGCGTCATCGGTGAGATATAGCCACATCTCTGTGTAAAAGTCATGGAAAATTTCATGAAAATAGTAATGGATTTTTTGCAGGATATTTTATTCCATACTTAATCAGAACATGTCTGCTTTACAATCCAATAAAAATATCACACCTCTTTCATAAAAATGCGTGTTTTTAAAATGAAAAGGTGCACTCTTACTGAAACACCTTTAGAATGTCAACGCAGTACTCGTGACACATGACATTCTCAAATTTCATATGTTACGAAACGTTTTTATTAGAAACCCTACAGTTCCTCACATCCATCACTTTGAGCTTTGTGAATGTATGTATCCAAAGCTGCTTCTCTTCTATTTCTTTACTAACAATGACGAATACTTCCTTCTTTTTGCTGTCTAGTTGTTCTTTTAACTATACTATCACACTGTTTTTTTCCGCTTAATAGAGGTTTAAAAAGTTTTTAACGATGATGATGTATTTAGCTTTTCTTAGGCTGATGATGAAGTTTTGAAATACGCTTCAAAGATGGTTTGATGTATTTTTTGCAACCGCAATATTCCACAGACGCGTAGCAGGGTACAGCTAGTCAAAAATAAATCCACAAATATTTGACAAGCCTAAACATCCAGGGTCTTTACCCTTATCAAACCAAACAGCTTCACAGCCCTTTTTGTGAAGGACAGCCATTACCAGATTAATATCATAGTTGCCTAACTCTAACGTGGATGTTAAACGAAAGCTTTGGAAGTAACCAAATCAAGAAAAGTTTTGGACACAGCTACATTTTATTCACATGTAAATATTTTACTCATCCGTTGCAGTTATCCGCAATTAGTTTTTTTACCATTGCAATTTTATATTTATATTATTTAATTTAACAAAATTTCTCACAATAACAACCATTTGACATTTTCGCTTAAAAAGGGAATTATATTAAATATATATAACAAATCTAATGTTCTTATTCTAATCTTTTATTCCAAAATAAAAGGAGCCTAAGTTGCTCCATTTAATATTAGCATAAATAAAGAGAATTGACAAAATGATGTTTATTTAAGTATTAGTGGTTTCTAAACTTTAGGAATTAGACAGATTAAGGAATAAAAGAGAGATGGATAAAAAAAAACAATTAACAAAAATGAAATGATCTAAAATAATTATTATTTATAAGTTAGTTTTATTAATTGATAAAAGTTATTTCTTTTCACTTAAAAACCTAATAAATGTTAAATTGTTTCAGCAACTTAGCAACATAGATGTTCTAAAGCACTATAAGTACTTGGTCTACCTGGATCTGTCTTCGAACTTGCTGAAGGAATTAACTGTGCTATCGTTTCTACCATACCTGCAACATCTCACGGTTTCATTTAATAGTTTAAGCACGATTCTAGATTATGACACCCGTAAATAATTTTAAAAATACCTAATATAAATAATTATGCATATTACATTACTCCATTACATGTAATATATTTAGAAAGTTTAATAATTATATGATGTATTTGACAAACTAACTTCGGCCAACTAATTAAAGTACGAGTAAGTAAATATATTTCATGTGTAGTAAATCAAAATTTGAATATGTCAAGATAGCTCAGATTGTACTGCTTATTGACATTTCAAATTAAATTTAAACTCAAGTAATTGTCATGACGTAATGTTAATTTCAATTCATAATCATTTCAAGGTCTGCGTGAGCTGCGTCGTAAAATTGTTTACTCGTGACACTTTATTCAATACGTCTAGCTTTTGCCCGAACTCCGTCCGCGTGTATGTCGGTCACCGCAGTAAAAAGTACCTATTAAAAAAGTACCTATGTTGCTTTCCATTAATGACAGAATTTTTAAAATCGGTTTAGTGGTTTAGGCGTAAAAGCATAACAAACAAACTCACTGTCACATTTCTAACATAACAGTATAAATTATTTGCCAAAAATGGTCAAAAAATAAATGGTTTCTAATTTTACTATGAATATAAATTATTTGCCAAAAATGGTCAAAAAATAAATGGTTTCTACGGACACTTTTAATTTTACTATAAATATGTTAAAGTAAAAAAGTTTTTTTTTTGAGTTGGTATATTTATTTTATATTTCTTTTTTTTTTCTTTTCTAAAAGACAACTCCCGCAATAGGAATATATCCTGTGTCGCGGGGAACTTTACAAACATACATGGAACGGACACAAATTATATTTCTACATCTGTTTGCAGATAAGAAAATAAAATGTATTTATATTTTTTATATAGGAATCTTATTCGTATATTTATAGGAATCTTATTCATATATTTATCATCAAATGTATTCGATTACGAATACATTTGATGATAAATTTAGCTATTAAATAAAGTTCGTTATAGCTTAATGGTTTTAAATGAATACTTACTACATTAAAATCTAAATTAACCTACCTAGAAGGCATATCAGCCATTTATATTAACGTATTACTCAGTACATTTCGTTCCGTGTCTTAAATCTTACTTATTATATTTTTTAGCACAATGGTTCCTTACCGAAGTACATTATAAGTTTAACTCGGTCAGAAAGATCAATGACTTGAGCGTATTTTGGTCCATCACTATTCTTGATTTGTCTCACAATAATATCAAGTACATAAGCGGACTACAGGAGTTGAGGTACATTTACATTAAAATAAATAACATATATATCAACGATGAACAGATCAACCCAAAGATGATGAGGCAATGTAAAAAAAGGCTGTCTCTATGTGTAGAACTATAAATTATATACGACTATGGTGCTAATTCTGTTGTTTGAAAACTCACTAAACTAAAAATCACAGAAAAATTGTTTAGTCCTGTCAAATACTACGGTTTCAGAATAGGAAACGTTGTTTAACAAGACTAAACTATTTTTAAGTGATTTTTTTTATTTATTTTTTATTTATTTATTCAGTAACAATAAAAATTGTGTTTGAAATGCTTACATGTTAACTTAAGTTTCTAACGAATTTAATTTATATAATGCAATACAAATAGATAAATACAAAAACAAACACATGCAGTCAAAAATTCAATGTCATTAAAATACTGTCAAAATTGTGGTTAGGTAATTTGAAGTTGTCTCCGGGTTTATTATGTAATATACCAATATGAATGTCGATAAAAATACCGGGGGGGATACAATTTATAAAATTTGCAATTTTTCCACATCCATGAATAGACCATTCACTCAATGCTCAAAATCCGCCACAGAATAATAACACTTTTCTAGCAATAATTCCTTCAATCGGGATTTGAACATGTCTGTGTTATAAACCATCTCTTTAAGGTGGACAGGTAATCGATTAAATAACTCGACCGACTGATATCGAGCGCAATGCATGACTATATTTAGTTTAGGTGCTATTTTATTTTTTAGAGCTTTTGCCGTGTTAATTCTCTTTCTTCTCTTTCACGTCCTGTCTCGTATTCATGTATGTACTTAGCGAAGTTGGTAAGTATAGTTAAAATGTATAAGCAAGGGACTGTTAAGATTCCTAAGCTCTTGAAATGGTTCCTGCAAGAGTCACGTTGTGAGATCTGAACCATTATTCTAATAGCACGTTTCTGCAGAACAAACGCCCTGTGTACATTATACTCGTAACTATTTCCCCAACACATTATGCTATACCTAATCTTGGACTCCACTAACGCATAGTAGACGGCTTTAAGTTGCTTGATACCTGTGATATCCCTTAAGCTCCTCAACGCATACGGAAGAGATACACGAATCCAATGATGCCAATTCCGGTTTCCAGTTAAGTTGCGAATCTAAGTTGACACCTAAAAATTTTGTAGTGCCGACTAATGAGATCTGGTTGTCATGTAATTTGATTTCCAATTCATCTCTATTTCTAGATGTTGTTTTAAAAAGTATTATATTTGTTTTATTACTATTAATCAACAAGCCATTAGCCGAAAACCATTCGTCCATGGTAACTAATATTCTATTTACAGATGAGTTCAAGTCTACTAGATTTTTTGCTCCTATGACTATGTTAGTGTCATCTGCAAATACTGTTATTTTTGCATCTGGTCGTATCCTCTGCGTGAAATTTAGAAGGTCGTTTGTAAATATTATGAACAATATGGGACCTAATATTGACCCTTGAGGAACTCCGCGTTTAACATTTATTATGTTGGATTTGTGAATAGTTTCAAGGTTTTCTTCATTAAGTTTTTTGATTTGAACGTACATACGTCTATTTTGTAGATAGGAAGACATAAGTTGCAATGCTTTATCTCTTACACCATAATGTTCCAATTTCGATAAAATTAGACCATGGTCTATAGTATCAAAAGCAGAACTCAGGTCAATGAATATCCCTACCACTTTCATACCCTCATTTGAAATAGTTTTAGTTTTAGTTTAGTTTAGAGAGTTTTCGCACAACAGAATAAGCTCCTATTTTAGAATCAACTTTTTAAACATGTCCTTTGAGATGCAGTTTTCATAAAATCGTTCTCATAATCTTCTGTGTTCTTTCTACTGTAATAATGCAGTCTGCACTTTTTTATGGCTTGCCTTTAGAAAATCTCAAGTATTATCTCTATAATCTTCTTTTGTATAGGTATCTCCGTCGGCTAGACTTATCGTTTAACCATATTCAGCGTCTTGAGAATTTGAACAACTTGCGTTTAGTCTGGCTGGATATATCATACAACAACATCTCCAGCTGCGAATTTAGCGAAAATACCGGCTTGTGGACCCTTTTACATCTGGAGTACCTGAATTTGAATGAAAACAATTTGACTTCATTGAAAATGTTCTCTGGTTGTAACAGGTAAGCAATCAGTCTCATTAATGATATAGCCCGCGTGCCTGCCACAATGTCCAATCGAGCCTGATTCAGAATGTCTCACTAATGAACGAAACAAAACCTATTGTACTCATTAGGTACGTTTCAACTCATTGACAACTAGGAAATTGACAAACAGAAATTAACGAGTGGGTGAGGTGGGTAGTAGAACACAATTCTAGTCCTGCAAGAAATCTATTGTAGTTGTTATTGATATATACAATAACAATATCTCTTCTCTTTCTTTTTACAGGCTTTATATTAACTTCACTTGTATGTTTGTTTGTATGTTTGTAACCGACTCCTTTGGGCGTGATTTTGACTGACTTTAAACGGTCATAATTCGTCCAAACTTTGTAGATATATCGAGGACCGATGACAATACAATAATTTAAAAAAAAAACACACAAAATAAATTTGAAAAAAAACGTGGGGTGCTTTTTACTATTGACAACAGGCACCTAACGCTTTTTTTCAAATTTATTTTCTATTTTTTAAGTTTGGTTTTCTATAGAAAGCGTGTTTTTTAGTTTTTTAAAACTATAATTTTTTTACTATTCTCTTTTACTATTTTACACTCAATATTTTGGTAGCTTAAGCTTTTTGGTTTCGGTTACAGTGTTAAGTATAAAATTAATGTAATATATTGAAAGTTCTTAAAAAATTTAATTTTCGAATTCAATTTTACTATGTTTTAACTGTGAGTTTACATTAATAAAAGTACAAAACATTTTTTCAATTTAAAAAGAAAAGAGATACATACTGTTCACGAAATTCATTCTTAGTATATTCTTTCATGTGATAATTGTGAAGCTTCATTATAAACATTTCCTTAGTCTTTTGTACATTCGTGTCCACTATAATAACCTGGAAACTAGATGAATAATAAATACGGGCATTAAAAAAAATACATTCCTTGTGATGGAAATAAACTACATGCGGTTACCTTGTATAATAGAAATCTTTTATTCATGTCACATAGCCGAATGGAAGGTTTTACGATTAAGTTTTCTTCATACCAAACTCTTTACAAATATGTAATAGACCAAAATTTTGGTCTATTATTGGTATATTAACCATTGGTATATTAATTATTAATTTGGGAACTTTTATGGAGTCGGTTAGTTAACTAACGTTGTTCTTTTACAGACTTCGAGAGTTGTATCTCCGAAACAACCGCTTGGGTATCCTTCTAGAGCTTGCAGTATACTTGAGACAACTCCGCCGGCTGGTGGTGCTCGACCTTCGTGCCAACCCTGTGTGTAACACTCCGTTGTATAAAGAAGTCGTCATCAACACATTCCCTTTACTCCTTAATTTAGATGCTCAAGAGTTGGATCCTGTCGAACAGGTAAAAAAAAATTGATTTCTCTTTTCGTCTCTAAGAATGCAATGTTATACAGAATGATCCAAACGAGCATTTAGAATACAAATATTTACTACGAACCATTTTGCAGTACGAATATTGATGTCAAAAAATAAATAAATTTTCTTTTAAATCCTAGGACGTTCTGTAATCTACTGTAGAACATCTCCAAATGTCGATGGTCCACATGTTAACTGTAGGACGTCCAGATTTTTAAGCATATATATACAATTTTCATACTGGAAGTGTTTACTATTTTAAAGAACAGAAACTTCTTCAATAAATCATTTTGACGATTCAATCTTTCCATTTAATTCCGGTTAATTCATATACTTCCATTTATTTTAACGGTTAATATTTTTTTTTGGACCCGGCAATTGATTCTAATTACATTGGAGCCTAATTTCATCTAGGATTTATTATGTTGCTCTAGTACCACGTGTGATATGAAAGTAACAATTAAATTAAATGATATTGTAGCGTACTTTGAAAATGGATATGTACCCTGATGTGACCGCTCATGCCACTCGACGGTTACTCCGCCTCCTTTACATACAACAACTTTCAAGGAGCCTTGTTTCGCCTTACATTCCACCAGCCGATACCACTGACGTACCTTTGGTGATTATTGTAGGACGTGAAGCCGTTGGCAAAGGTATGTTAGCTATAAATAAGTAATGCATTATATAATAAAACTAGCTGAGACCCGCGGTGTTACCCGCGTTTGTTGTTATAACCGCGGGCAGCGCCGCGGGGCCAAGCTAGTCAAAAAAAAGTAGCCTTAGTTACTCCCTATGTCATCAGCTATCTGCCAGTGAAAGTCCCGTCGAAATCGGTCCAGCCGTTCCAGAGATTACCCGGAACAAACAGACAGACAGACAGACAAAAATTGTAAAAAATGATATTTTGGAATATGTACCGTGTATACATACATATGCATTTAGTAAAAAGCGGTTATTTTAATATTACAAACAGACACTCCAATTTTATTTATTTGTATAGATATATACCTAGATATTGTTTTGTTTCTTCGCTTCGTTAAAATTATCAAGCCTACATTAATACCAAGCTATCCTAATTCGAAAGCTTGGGGAGTATGGTAGTTCTTCAAAAATCATGAGCGATGCGCCGCATGTCTAGCTTTTCGAATGCGGCAAACAATTTCAATACAAACTTTAAGAGAAAATGTGATGGACCCACATGTCTTCAAGACGTCGTCGTTTCTAACACTGTTGCCGAGAGAGTTGAACGCTACAAAAATGTGATGAATGGGTCCTTGCTGCCAAAAATTAATGGATTGCCTATAAGTAATGTGGTTTCCGCAAGAAATTGCCATCTCACACACAGTACTATAATTTGAACAACGACGCTTGTTTAATTTTTTTTCTATGCTCTAGTTTTAGAGTTTTAATGAGTTGTAGTTTAGTTGAATAGTAGACCAAAACCTTCTTTCTAAGGAGAGGTCTATATCCAGCAGTGGACTATTAAAGGCTGTTGATGATGATGATGATGATGATGAATGAGTGGTAGACCATTAGAGAGAATTCTTAAATTTTAAAGAGAAAGATAGTCTCAGAGTAAAAAAAAACATTTTATTATATACTAGCCGACCCTGCAAACGTTGTTTTGCTATTTACAGTATTTATTTTTTTTTTATTTTTTTTTTTGGAATTTCTTAAAATCCGTTCTTAGCTGACCTCTACTCGGTGAAAAGAATATTCCTACCAAATTTCAAGTCTTTAGCTCTAATGGTTCCAGAGATATCGTGATGAGTGACTATATACGTGGAAATCTCTTATATATATAGATATGAATACTTGTTACGTATTTTCTATGACAAAATGTATTAATAAACATCTATTATGTAAATATCTTTTCGTCACAGGTTTTTTTTTCGACGTTCTGCGCTGTCTGAGTCTGATGTTTTGCATTCCATTTTGAAAATTTTATTATCAGGTAGACATAACGAAATTTGAAAGACAACACAGCATACTGTTTGTTAGAGTAAGAAACTTAATTCTGAGAGATTCCTATAATAAAACTTTAACTTATTCATTATTTATTAAAGGACTTTACGCATCAACTACCATATGGATACATTTTATTTCAAAAATAATTAATGTGTACGTCGTGATTGCCACGATATTTTGTCACTTAACAGGAACGCTATCTCGTAGGCTGACATCTCAGTATAGTTCACACACCCAACTAGCTCGGCAGCACACAACAGCAGTCTGCCATTTCTCTGACCACTTCATTGAAGTAACGAGATCCAAGTTCGACGATATGTTACTCGCTGGGGACTTTCTCACCTACTCTGAAATGGACGGTGAATCTTACGGTCTAAGTATGTTTTCGGTATATTACCATATTTCAAATTAACAAACAAAAACTCTCTTGTAGTATGTCACACAATGCCATTAACTTATCGAGTATATTCGATATATTACTTGTACGAAATTAATACAGTGGAGACTCGATTATCTGGACCTCAGCTATACGGTTCAATACATTCTGTACATTGCATTTAAGTGTGCACCTATATTTTACAACTTGCACTATCTGTTTCGTTATCTTTGTAAAGTTACAATAGTTAAGTATTCGTCATAAGTAAATGCAGAATAAGACGCAGGGCCATCTCAAACGGAAGCATTGAAGGCGCTGGTAACAGCTTTTAAATGGTACGACAGCAAACAGATCGTTCAATCGTTTCAATTTAAGTTAACTATGAGGATAACCCTCATAGTTAACTTAAATTGAAACGAATTCGAGATAAGCAAACATCAATAATAATAGAAAAAAATGAAATTGAAACATCGATTCAACTTACTTTTGTTATTAGTAATTTCATTTTAAACATTGCAATACTTTAGTAATTCAAGCTTTAATTTAAGCACCTCAATGCCTTCCGACATCAACTAGTCCGGTAAATCGAGTCTCCACTGTAATATCAAGTCATTGCATCGGATAAGCCATACAAGCGATTTGCAAGTATATAAGTAATGTACTATAGCTGTGAGCTGTATAAATAAGTTGGGCATCGGTATAGGCAATAAAAGGTCCATCCCTTTTATCTCACGTTCCCATAGTAAAAAATGTTTACTCACTCTTGTAAGCCGTAAACTACGAGGCTTAATATAAAGAAAATCTAAAACTTGGGTCAAAGTAAACCACGAAATAGAGAACGTTACATACATACTTGTATAGACATTACATCATACTTTGTAGGCCGTGAAGAAGCTTTCGTAACAGATGGAAGAGTGAGGATTGCGAGTATGGATTTAGTCGGAGCTTTGATGCTGAAATTACGTGGTTACAGGCCATATTTGATTCTGGCAACGACAGAAGATAAAAATGAGCTTGCGAGGAAGCAATTTGCCCGGAAAACGTATGAATTTCATCAATATATAATATTGTTTCTTCTTGTGTAGAGTTATATACTCTTGTGTAGAGTTACACTTATAATATTTATTCATTTATAAAATTAAAAAATAAGTGCAGTAGAATACATGTAGTGAATTCTTCAATTCAAATAAAATTGTTTGTAAAACAATTTTGTAAGAATTCTTATAAGGACAAAATTAAGATTTCTCGTATACCCAGTATATTGTCTAGGTTACCAACAAGCACGCAGCGTTGACCACAGAACTCGGAATAAATTATTCTTTACGAGTATTCTATGGCGTCAACGTCTCACGGTTAAGAGTTCATCACCGTTTATTAACACTAATGCTCTCGTCAGTATTAATTCATTTGGAAAAATGAAGCACAGCTCGAGATATCTATGGTCACAAGTTCTCATAAGAAAAACAGCTGCTTAAAGATTTTACCTTTAAGCCACTCTAACCTGATGACAAACATCTTCAGGTTTATTTACTGTCTTGAAACTCAGAATGAAATCAATTGAGTTCATGTTGGTTTAAATTTACAATTGAACCCCGCATTGTAACCACTTTTTAGATAATTATTTTACATAAGTATTTTTTTGAGATTTCGAGGTATTTGCATTATTACCTTAATCAACTGTATGTAACACCAGAAAGAAAGTCCTTCATTCAGACAGATACTGCGTGCACCTCTTAAAATTAGCTGTAGAACATTTTAGTGCAAGGTCATTTTTAAACTAGTTTTAAGATGAAAACCGCATCTATGCAAGGCCGTGTCTTCTGTATTGTGATTTCAACATGCCGTTAGCTTATTTTTTTAATCAATCAATGAATCAATCAATTAGCCTATACCAGTCGATTTCTGTCGATGTGTCAATTCACGTATATTACTTGTTTAAGGTTTCGTGAAATGTACCGCCAAGAAAACATTTCTGCGGAAGCGCCAGCGGAACGCTCCACATTACAAGTTTTAGTTTCCGGTCGAATCATCATCACAGGAATTCTAAATGAAATAATTTTGGTAAATAAATCAAATTAGTATCATAGTTTAATATGTCCCTGGTATTCTCTTCTTTCAGGTATGTGTGCTCCAAGCCTTTGTCAACATTACGCGATTCTGAAATAGACTAAGATCCGGTTTATTAAACCCTGTTATCCTTAGGACTGCCTTGATTGCACTCGAAATGAGTAACTCACAACTGATTTAACCTTAAAAAAGAGAAAAAAACAAATGTTGTGGATTCCCATATGAGAGAAATAACTGTTATAAACAAACGTTTTCTCCATGCTGAAAGTTCTCAATCCAATTTTGTTAATAGTGTCAACGTTAACGTTCAATCAATCAATATTTGGTTTTTTGCTAATAGGTTAAAAAAATCTTCTATAAAAACCCCCAGTCATTAATCACACTTTGATTGTTGATTACAAAAGTAAAGATGACAAGTAACCACAATTACTTTCGTAAATAAGATTTATAATCTAAATGCAATTAATTAATTGTAGACGGGCCTGTTGGTCTAGTGGTTAGTGACCCTGACTGCTAAACCGGAGGTCGTGGGTTCGATTCCCACCCAGGACAAATATTGTGTGATGAGCACGGTCATTTGTTCTGTGTCTGGGTGTAATTTATCTATAATATGTATGTTTTTAGAAATATATAAGTATGTTTATCAGCGGTCTGGTTACCATAGTACAGGCTCTGCCTAGTTTGGGATCAGACGGCCGTGTGTGAGTGTGTGAGATATATTATTATTATATTATTATTATTAATTATTTTTAAATCCAATCAATTTCTATGCACCTAAGTACTACCAAATCCAACTTTATTTCGGGAATCGCTGTGAAGACTAACGAAGCTGTCGAAAAGAATAACTTCTTCGTGAATCAAAACTACGTGTACCTTAGTCCCTGTCGTACTAATATCGATCCGTTGTTTTTATTTTTGAATGATTTATTTGTTCTATCATGAGAGTCTCCATAACCGTCTCAACTTATTTTTTTAAAGGGTTTGCCTGACGAAAAATACCAAAGTGAGTTTACCATAGAATCGGAATGTTCCCTGATGTTGGACAGTGAAATACGCAAACAAATACGAGACTACGCAAAAAATTCTGATTTAATACATATGTTAAGTGGAGTACGTTTTTCTTTTTATTTTGTATTTTTTCCCAATGTTTTAATGTCTCTTTATTGTGTTTTTTTTATACAGAGTGACTTCAACTTAATCACGAATTTGCCTAAACATATAGGATATGCTATTCTTAGATGATTTGCAAAATATCAACGAAAAATATTCAGAGGACAAGGCCGTTGCAGCACAGAATATATGTTCTGATATGCATTCTCTATTACTTGTATTATGGGGAGGAATTGTTTTGACTTATACCGGCCGCAGCTTTCCGCTACCATTCAGCACTATCCTGCTGAATGGCAGCGGAAAGCTGCTTCCTATCGGACATCAATCCCCATCGTATAGATCGTTGGTACTAGACATGGATATTATTGGTACTTTAAAACATATTCATTTGATGAAATGATTGGTTTTAGTTACAGCGATTTCACATGTGATTGTGATTTCGTCATAAACAAAGTTAATAAGTTAAAATCAATCAAAATTATTTTTATCAAAGATAACGACCTTTTTTTAGATTTAGACCTTTCGCGAGTCTTGCGCTAGTGTAATAATAATAATTAAGAAGAGTTGGTTTTGGTAATCAGTCACAGGTGATACGATATGTAAATCATATGATTAATCACATTTGATTGTGATTTTCTGACATCCCTAGTTGGTACTTTCAAGAAACTTTTTGCCTCTTCTCAACTAATCTAGTGAACAAATTGTCACTTGCAAATATTACCTTCAATAAAAGAGCGTACCTTAAGTTTCTATGGGCGGCGGCAGTCACTTGCCATCAAACCCGCCTTCTCGTATGTCTTTTCTCTTTTGTGAAAAAAATACATAGGTCAGTTCTCGTCCCAATACAATTATTACGCTTTAATAAATTATAATGAAACAAAATAAGTGTGTCACACTCACTCAAAGCTTAATATTTTATTAAGCTCTTAGGTTTACTTAACAAATAATTTTAAAGTACTCCATAAATTAATGTGAGTAGCTTCGCAAACGTTTTTCTTATGCAAAGAGGGAAGACGATGATTCGCAAGTAACGCCTTCTCTTTTTGCATAAGAGAAACATTCGTGTTGTTGCTGCTTTACGAATTCCTCTTCATAGGAATCTTCGTAGGTAACCTCAGTCCGTTTCGTGTAAAAACTTACACAAGACTCATATATAGTTCCAGTAGTCGATACTGGTAAGAAAGTATAAAAAAGAGGAAACACACTAAATATAAAATAATGTTAAACAATTCGTAAGTTGTTTTACTAACCAAATATATTTTGTAGAGTGATTTGTCTTTGCAAGAAACAAACAAACGGGCCCAAGACAAGAGTAATAACGAAGAACCGAGTTTATACTCCTTGTTTAAAGAGTCGCAAGCCACAGAGGAGTACAACAGCTATATTTCTTACGGACAGGATCAAACTAAAAAGTAAGTTTGTACAAACCAAGAAATCATTTTCTTTATTTAACCGACGCACATTGACGCTTTTATAGCACGATATTACTGCTTTCTTTTTCTCTCTCCTACTCTCTCTCAAACTTCCTTGCTTTAGGCAGTCATCGAGCATCCACTATTTTCTCCTTTTAAGTTATAACGCCTTTATAGCACGATACTCTTATTTTCTTTCTCTCCTTGCTCTCATACTTCCTTGTTTTAGGCAGTCAGAGGGCATCTACTATTCTCTCCTTTCAAGTTACAAAATTTTCGCCTGATGATTCCTATATTCGTTTGTTGAGATCTACCAAAATAATCCAGACATGCTGCGTCCATAGTCTTCTATTATAAGGCTAGTGCATAAGTGCAGTGCAACATTCATTAGCAGATTAATAATTATGAAATATTTTAGACTTCAAATGATTGTACATTTTGTAATTTACAAACTTATAGTTTTTTTTTTTCTATAAATTATTACAGACCCAATGAAAAAGTTAGATCCTCCAATTTGTCTCAACATAAAAGTATTGATTTCAGCAGATACACCTCTTCAACGTGGAAAGGCAAGTATAATGTGTATAAAATAATTTGTTTATCCAAAACCATAAAAAATATGGCATATAACAAATCCTGCAGTGAATTTTAAAGATCTAGTGATGAAACTTATTGCTACTTTTTAATCATAATCATACGATGAAGTGAGTGGTTTTAGCCACTGCGATCACACCTTGTAATAAATCACTACCGTAATTTGGTCATTGACAAACTGCTTTTTTTATGGTATAAAGGGCCAAACGAGCAGACGGGTCACCTGATGGTAACTACCATACCAACTACCGCCGCCCATGGACATCTGCAACTCAAAAGTCACAAATGCGTTGCTGCCCTTTGAGTCCCACCCGCTCGAGTTTGCGGGAGGGGGATTTGGGCTCCAGTAACCTCACTCACTCAGTGAAAGGCAATGAAAGAATTGCTTAACACCGGTTTTCTGTGAGGCCGTATCACTCCGGTCGAGCCGGCCCATTCGTGGCTCTCCCATACCATCAAAACTTAAAAAAAAAAAAAAAAAAAAAGAATTTTCTTTTTATCAAAGATTTTTGTTTACGTTGACTGCGGCTATTTCTCCATATACCTTTCATGTTCTTTTTTTCCCCGTAGAACCTCCCTTACAAACCCCGTCATTGCTGTCCAGTTATTTGTCGTTTCCAGCATCTAAGGGGTGATCTCTCCGGCCTTCGAGGCACTCCCTACCCACTCCCTTCCCAGATCTTTTTTATGTTATTTCGGAAACTAAATTAACGCAATGTACATTTACCTAATAATGTAAATGCTCAATTTTACTGTCATTTTGTCAGGGTACTCTACTGGTAAAATGGATAGCAACAAATCGGCAAAATCGGTAACTTTTACTTCCCAAGAAACCGGGAATACTGGAAGCACCGGGCCTGTTATAAACCCAACGGGGTTGCTCGTTGAACCGCAGGTTCCACCTCCTACCGCGGCAGGTAAGTGCTCGTATCATCTATTTATTTATCTACCTTATTAGAAGTTCACAATCAATTTCATTGGCAATGAATCTAATCTAATGTTTTTATTAAATATATGACTAATATAATCCTGTTCTCATTATAATCCGGTTCTACTTAAGTGTGTATTTCAGGGATGACCGGCTAGTTTCAAAGCTGACGGTCAACCTTTATCAGTGCTGAACTAGTTTTACCAGCCTAACAGCGTAGTAGACGCTCCTTTCTCTCCTTAATAAAAAACTAGTAGGACGTCCTCGAAAGCCACACGTGACTAAAGTCGTCTGCTGACCTTAATAGATTTATATATCCCTCACTAAAGTAAGTGAGTAATGTGATAAGTGAGTGATAAAGACGCATTTTATTATTACTCACTGCAATATTTTTCTGTGAACAGTCCTTTGCTTATAAAATGTATTTATCCTTACACGTATAATAGAGATAAAACAAAAAGAAGAGCAAGAAAAGTCATAGTTTACGGCTTTTAGCTCCTTACATATCTCTACGAACAATGTTTCCGACGCCATCTATCATCCGTACAGAGTAACTTTAAAGTTCTTGCGTTTCCTAAAATACAGCTTTAATGCTAATACTTAGTTGGTAGAGCAGCTTTTGCTTAAATCTTTACGGTTTAAGCAAAAGGAGCAGAAACGGAACCCAAATATTTACCAGAAACAACAATATCCACTATTCTTAACTAGTAATAGTATTTGGCCGTATGTTTCAGAACAGATTATGCATTCCATAAGCTCAAGAGGACCGTTTGATGCACCTGGCCAACACACGCACTACGGTTATGAATCTACCCCCGACTCAGATCTTTGGCTGGCCTTTCTCACTGAAGCCGGGCAGAGAGAAGCCAGTGATATGGCAATTGCATCGAGTAATAGACATTTTATATTTATACTAATACCTATGGGTTTCGCAGGAGATGATTTATGTAGTCATGAAGGGGCTGGCCACTACCTTTGCCGATATACTGAAATGTCGTAATATTAGCTAAATATAAACGGATATAAGATTTTAATAGCTCTCGAAGAAGTCCTTTTTTGTAGAAACAAAAATTGTGTGGACATTGTAGTGACCTTAATATTGTTAGATTTTATCATAATAGAAAGGTGGAGGTTCCTATTACCCCGATGGTGCAATGGAGCTTTATCTAATATATATTATTCTATTAACAAATACAAATACTGCCAATTGTCAAAAATTGATATCTTCTAAATATTTGAAACAAAGTTCCTTTTTGCTAGTAACTAGTGTGCGTGATGGCAAATAAAATCAGAGCAGTTCGGTCGCTATCACTAATCAAACTAGTAGGAGGATCTAAGGAGGGCCTATGTCCAACAGTGGACTATTAAAGACTTTTGATGTGTGATGATGATGTGATGATATGAGAAAACGTGTGTATTTGACTTGTGAATACAGAATACTAATGAAAGGTGCTAAGCAAATATGTTTGCACATTACATCGATAGTCTACATTTTCGGTATTCAAATTGACAACAAGTAAAACATTTGCCGATTCCTATTTGGTTTAGTTTTACATTTAGGTAGTTTGTTTATTTTATTTTTATTCTATAATTCGTTAACACATTGCAGGTAACTCGGCACCACAGGAGACCCCAAAAACAAATGATTCTATGTTGAACCAGATTCATCCTGAGACGGTAAAAAAACACAAATTTAACTAGCTAATCTTATTGAGCCTTTCTCACTCTCCCTCTCCCCCCATTGACGCGGAAAATTTCTACGGGTCGCCACCTTATCGGACAAAACACTTAAGGACTAAAACCTCAAGGTGATCTATCACATGTGTGTTCATTATTGGCGACCCAGATATAACCTACTGGGGAAAAGCCTTAAACATCCCTGTCGACTTTAGCCACCTGATGGCAGGCGATCACACAGTGAAATATAAGAGGCCCTGAAGCCAGCGCTCATGGAGGTCGGAGATCATTCGATACTCTACTCTGCGGAATGGGAGAGTGCTTTTACTCTTCCGTTCCGTTCCGCCGCCTCTTTAGCCAACATCACCTCTCACGATAAACAAGACGGCGGAATCCCAGGCACTCTCACTTTGGATCATGGAACGAGTCATGGCCAAGAGGCTTTCGGCACCAATAGGTACCATGAATTGCTCATAACAGCCTCCGCAATGGTTGCTCTGTTATGTTGGCTTCTGGGTCAACAATTCATCAAAAGTAGCCGTGTCTGATGACTACAGGCGTCAATTGGGGAGCGAGAAAGCAGTGGTAAACGTAGACTAAATCGTAACATATAAGCAACAAATAACAATCAAATCAAATCGTAACATAAAAATAAACATACTATAGACCTTTGTATTCAAACTTATATAATGTAGGTATTTTAGCAAGATTTTCCTTTTGACAAGAACAATATCCCAGAAAAAAATAACAAAAAAAAATACCATACCTAGACCTTAATTAGTAATTGACTGGAATATCTATCATATCGTTTCCTAAATTTATCATATACACGCAATTAAAAGTGTCTTGGATTCAAATGTAGCTTGCATAATATATTTGCAATGGACCAAATACGCAAACTTCATCAACTACGTAATAAAGCATTTACAAATCAATATCATTAGAGATGTGCGTTTAGCTTTTTTTTTGTTCAGCATAAAGGCCCTCTGATCCGCTGCGGTCGACCTGACCTTTATTTTTTTTTTCCGTGCGGAAATCCCCTCGGATATCACCTGTCGGTGGCATGTCGGACTCGAACCGACTAAAACCGCACGCCGTCTCGGGTACTAATAGCCGGGGAACCAGGTATACCCTAGAAAGGAAGTCCCTAGTGCCCCGACATACCTCGGGTCATCTACAGACGAGTAGACGACCCGCCCCCCGTGTGGGAACCCCATGTTCCCTGTGCTCGCTCGCCGCCAGCCCGGCCTGCCTCTGCTAGGGTGACAGATGGCCTCACCTGTCACCCCCAGGCCTGCGCTTATGGAGGTCGTTCTGCGCCTGAGTCGCCTGCGGTACCTGGCCCGTTCCCGGGCCTGGCGGGCCGGGAGAGTCCTAAACCTCTCCCGGCCAGTCTCCGCCGTCTCCTTCGCGAGCATAACTTGCTCGCAGAAGGAGACGGCAGAGTTCCACGCACTCTCGCTCCGCACGATAGCCGCAGGCTATCGAGCGAGAGAACTCCCACTCCGATGGCCGCCACGAGGTCTCGCCTCTGCTCAACCCACGCCGGGCACTCTGCCAGCGTGTGGAGAGCCGTGTCCACGGTCTGGCCATCGCAGTGGTGGCACTCAGGCGTTGGCTCCTTGCGGATCAGATACAGGTGATCCCCGAAACATCCCTTCCCAGTGATCACCTGCGTCAATCGGTATGAGAGGGTCCCGTGACGCCTCTCGAGCCAATCCTCCATAGCGGTCGACCTGACCTATAACTTTGTTATCAGCAACAACCGTATCATCCTAATATATATAGGTATAATTCTTCTGTACGTGTATTTGAAACCTAACTCCTCCTAAACGGCTGTACCGATTTGGATGAAATTTTGTGGTCAAATAGTATTCAGTATATATATATAACAAGATATAAATTTTATCTTGTTTATAAAATCTAGACAATGTATAGAATACTTCTTATTGTGGAAAGCCCAACGAGCCATCACCCTACCGGGGTTTCCACCTGGTGTGCCACAAATATGTAGGAGGGATAAAACATCTTAACATTAGTCATTAATGCATCAAATATTGTGAAAATTATTGTCCATTGCCAGTGGCGGCCTTAGCCATTGAAATTACGCTAAGGCTATAATGTAATGCGAATGCGAATAAATACGAATACTTGTAATGCCTGACAAGTATTCGTATTCCGTCAATCTAAAGGTCGCGGTCTTTGAAGGTAGTTACAGTCGCACTTAAGATGGGGCTCTTGGAAGGCCCGTAACAAACACACTTTTAAATTTGTGACATTCATTTTTTAGCGTAAAAGTGATCAAATTAATTAGTCATCTGTGGTAGTCTTAGGTTATCGCATTATAAGGAGCCTTGTCTGTATTTAATGTTATCATATATGAACCTGCCTACCTCTATAATAAATATGTGAACTAAAACATGTTATATTTGTTAAAAATGAAAAGTAATAATTAGGGTGTGTGTTTTTAGGAATAAATTGAAGATTCTAACTTCTTATAACTTCTCATAAAAAAAGGCTCGCTAACGGTATGTTATTTGATCCATCGTCAATCGATGACACGGTACCTACCTATATAAACTGTTTTACCCCTATCTGCTGAATAAGTGCGACGAAAAATAATTGGAAACGACAGAAACCTTTTTTCGGCTAAAATTATTCCCGCCCACTTTTTAATAACAACATAATTTTATTTACCAGGCACCTGTAGAAACTACTGAAAGTTTGGAAGCCATGGAAATTTTAACGTCAGCACATTTAAGAGAACAATATGAAAGCATTCATCGGCGTAATCCTGGTCTATTTTGGGACACAGTAAGATCCTATTTTTAACTACTACACTCATTCCCCTCTAATCTTATTAATACTCATGCTTTCCTGCAGGTCAATATGGATAACCCAGATGAAGCAGTAAAAAAATTGCAACACATAATTCGAGGGATTGTCAAAAACCAAAGTAATTTACAGCCAATGTTTGACATTGATTTCCCAAACCTTAGTGATTACCCATCAGTTCAAAAAAGGCTGGAGATCATTCGTCAACAAATAGCTCCTCAACAACTGTTCTATTAAATAAATAAATGGTTATGAAAAACTGTTTTATTTTTGTTAGGTACCATTAAGTAAATTATAAGTATCATACAATCAATAGAGATAAAAGTGTGAGACTGGATTCATTTAATACCACTTTCCTATAGCCTTAACATGTAATAGTATAAAAAGTCTCACTTTCTGATCATTTAAACACCATTGTGTCAAGCATTGCTCCCAAACACTGTACTATATTGTTTGACATCAGGACATCAACTTTCTCCTCTAAATGCCTCTTGGGGTCCTGTTTGCCTACATTCTTAATAGCTAGTTGTTCAGGGGTCATTTTCTCCTCATCTTCTAATGCCTTATTGTAATTTTTAGCTAAGTCCAACATATCTGTGACTGTAGTTTCATTGATAGAACAGTGCTCCTTGTAGTCTGAAAGGGTTAGGCCATCCATCCAGGACTTTTTGTGGAGATTTAACAGCATTTTCTGCTCCAATTCATTCTTCCTGTAGTTTATGCTGATAGAGTAATAGTGGCGATTAAGTCCGTGAATGAGAGCTTGCACTGATGGTTTTTGAAGGTGGCCCAAATTCGATGTGGTCTGCCTAGGCTCCTGACCAAGAACCATCATATTAGGGTTAATGAGGCGGAATGCATCAATGACTACTTTTCCTTTCACTGATTGGATGGGGTCTACCACAACAGCAACTGCTCTCTCTGATAAGGCTTCAAAAGACTGTTGAGTATTTATATCTACTCCTGATAACCAACAACCAAATCCAGGATGTGAGTGATACCTGAAATTGGTTTACAAATTGCTTTAAAATAGTAAAATTCATACTCCATGCACTACTGTGTATCATTAATTATCACCACAATTTTTTTTAACAAAGAAAACACAGAGCCCCTGCAGTATACTATGTTTACTTTTAAATAGATTACACATGTTATATTTCAGTCTGTGTGGTGATGGTTAAGGAATATGGAGTTTGTGTGGTGGTGTGTGTAAGTGGGTGTCATAACAGCCAACTAAGGGACCAAACTTTGCAGGACAACAGCACTGCAAAGCAAAGGAAAGCTTAAAACTAACAATATAATAACATGTCTGGCCAGCATGGTACAGTAGCCCAAAACCTCCTGCCTAAGGAGAGACCTATGTTGAACTATAAAGGCTGTTGATGTTTATATTTATTGAAACATATGCACAATTCTTTGAAATAAGACTATTTGTGAAAAAAGCAGTGCTAGAGAAATAATTACTAACAAACTGACTAAACTAAGTAGTACTTTCAAGATCTTATAACTTACTTTACCCATACACTTAATGTTTTGACTGGTCACTGAGTTGTTTTGTCAAAGGTTTCGTAGATCACCATGCAAAGTTTTCTTATATTTTGAATTTTTTATTGTCCATTTTTATACAAATTTTTTCAGTGTTTCGCGTTCACTATAGATTTTGTAGTTTTATTGCACAATCTATTGACACTGTGTATTTTTTTAATTATATAGTTGTACGACGTTGTTTCTTTCTGAACATTGTACTTAGGTCACGAAATTGTTTCACTTTTAAAGTTTCAATTGTACTGTATATAATGAGTCACTAACACTTGATGATCACTTTCAGGTATCAATTTACTGAAAAATTACTTTTATAGACGTTACTACAGAATACTAATGAAAGGTGCTAAGCAAATATGTTTGCACATTAAATCGATAGTCTACATTTTCGGTATTCAAATTGACAGCAAGTAAAATATTTGCCGATTCCTATTTGGTTTAGTTTTACATTTAGGTAGTTAGTTTATTTTATTTTTATTCTATAATTCGTTAACACATTGCAGGTAACTCGGCACCACAAGAGACCCCAAAAACAAATGATTCTATGTTGAACCAGATTCATCCTGAGACGGTAAAAAAATACAAATTTAACTAGCTAATCTTATTGAGCCTTTCTCACTCTCCCTCTCCCCCATTGACGCGGAAAATTTCTACGGGTCGCCACCTTATCGGTCAAAACACTTAGACTAAAACCTCAAGGTGATCTATCACATGTGTGTTCATTATTGGCGACTCAGATATAACCTACTGGGGAAAAGCCTTAAACATCCCTGTCGACTTTAGCCACCTGATGGCAGGCGATCACACAGTGAAATATAAGAGGCCCTGAAGCCAGCGCTCATGGAGGTCGGAGATCATTCGATACTCTACTCTGCGGAATGGGAGAGTGCTTTTACTCTTCCGTTCCGTTCCGCCGCCTCTTTAGCCAACATCACCTCTTCGATAAACAAGACCGCGGAATCCCAGGCACTCTCACTTTGGATCATGGAACGAGTCATGGCCAAGAGGCTTTCGGCACCAATAGGTACCATGAATTTGAGGCCATCTGTCACCCTAGCAGAAGCAGGCCGGGGTGGCGGCGAGCGCGTTGCGAAGCGCACTCGCTTCCAGGGAGCACAGGGAACATGGGGTTCCCACACGGGGGGGGGTCGTCTACTCGTCTGTAGATGACCCGAGGTATGTCGGGGCACCAGGGACGCCACCCCGGCCTGCTTCTGCTAGGGTGACAGATGGCCTCACCTGTCACCCCCAGGCCTGCGCTTATGTAGGACGGAGGTCGTTCTGCGCCTGAGTCGCCTGCGGTACCTGGCCCGTTCCCGGGCCTGGCGGGCCGGGAGAGTCCTAAACCTCTCCCGGCCACGCTCCGCCGTCTCCTTCGCGAGCATAACTTGCTCGCAGAAGGAGACGGCAGAGTTCCACGCACTCTCGCTCCGCACGATAGCCGCAATCAGGCTATCGAGCGAGAGAACTCCCACTCCGATGGCCGCCTCTGCTCAACCCACGCCGGGCACTCTGCCAGCGTGTGGAGAGCCATGTCCACGGTCTGGCCATCGCAGTGGTGGCACTCAGGCGTTGGCTCCTTGCGGATCAGACACAGGTGATCCCCGAAACATCCCTTCCCAGTGATCACCTGCGTCAATCGGTATGAGAGGGTCCCGTGACGCCTCTCGAGCCAATCCTCCATAGCGGTCGACCTGACCTATAACTTTGTTATCAGCAACAACCGTATCATCCTAATATATATATAATTCTTCTGTACGTTTATTTGAAACCTAACTCCTCCTAAACGGCTGTACCGATTTGGATGAAATTTTGTGTGTATATTTCAATGGGTTCTTAGATGGTCGGTATGTGACCAAAGTCACCCAATTTATTAATTCTTAAGCGGTACGAAATTCGCCGGGTCAAATAGTATTTAGTATATATATATAACAAGATATAAATTATATCTTGTTTATAAAATATAGACAATGTATAGAATACTTCTTATTGTGGAAAGCCCAACGAGCCATCTCCCTACCGGGGTTTCCACCTGGTGTGCCACAAATATGTAGGAGGGATAAAATATCTTAACATTAGTCATTAACGCATCAAATATTGTGAAAATTATTGTCCATTGCCAGTGGCGGCCTTAGCCATTGAAATTACGCTAAGGCTATAATGTAATGCGAATGCGAATAAATACGAATACTTGTAATGCCAAGTATTCGTATTCCGTCAATCTAAAGGTCGCGGTCTTTGAAGGTAGTTACGACGGCCTTGCAGTCGCACTTAAGATGGGGCTCTTGGAAGGCCCGTAACAAACACACTTTTAAATTTGTGACATTCATTTTTTAGCGTAAAAGTGATCAAATTAATTAGTCATCTGTGGTAGTCTTAGGATATCGCATTATAAGGAGCCTTGCGAGGGTCCCCTAAGTGCAAGGCTATGGGCGAGAGACGGCTCACTTCGCTCACGCCTAGCTACGTCACTGTGCAATGGTATAGACCTGGGCTACCAGGAGCGACTTGCATAAATCGATTTTAGTCTATATTTAATGTTACCATGTATGAACCTGCCTACCTCTATAATAAATATGTGAACTAAAACATGTTATATTTGTTAAAAATGAAAAGTAACAATTAGGGTGTGTGTTTTTAGGAATAAATTAAAGATTCTAACTTCTTATAACTTCTCATAAAAAAAGGCTCGCTAACGGTATGTTATTTGATCCATCGTCAATAGATGACACGGTACCTACCTATATAATCTGTTTTACCTCTATCTGCTGAATAAGTGCGACGAAAAATTTTATGAACTGCTAAGTAACAATGGGATGACAATTGGTATTCTAATAGTCGCTTTCAGACCAAAAAAATATTAACAGGTCTGAATCGGAAACGACAGAAACCTTTTTTCGGCTAAAATTTTTCCCGCCCACTTTTTAATAACAACATAATTTTATTTACCAGGCACCTGTAGAAACTACTGAAAGTTTGGAAGCCATGGAAATTTTAACATCAGCACATTTAAGAGAACAATATGAAAGCATTCATCGGCGTAATCCTGGTCTATTTTGGGACACAGTAAGATCCTATTTTCAACTACTACACTCATTCCCCTCTAATCTTATTAATACTCATGCTTTCCTGCAGGTCAATATGGATAACCCAGATGAAGCAGTAAAAAAATTGCAACACATAATTCGAGGGATTGTCAAAAACCAAAGTAATTTACAGCCAATGTTTGACATTGATTTCCCAAACCTTAGTGATTACCCATCAGTTCAAAAAAGGCTGGAGATCATTCGTCAACAAATAGCTCCTCAACAACTGTTCTATTAAATAAATAAATGGTTATGAAAAACTGTTTTATTTTTGTTAGGTACCATTAAGTAAATTATAAGTATCATACAATCAATAGAGATAAAAGTGTGAGACTGGATTCATTTAATACCACTTTCCTATAGCCTTAACATGTAATAGTATAAAAAGTCTCACTTTCCGATCATTTAAACACCATTGTGTCAAGCATTGCTCCCAAACACTGTACTATATTGTTTGACATCAGGACATCAACTTTCTCCTCTAAATGCCTCTTGGGGTCCTGTTTGCCTACATTCTTAATAGCTAGTTGTTCAGGGGTCATTTTCTCCTCATCTTCTAATGCCTTATTGTAATTTTTAGCTAAGTCCAACATATCTGTGACTGTAGTTTCATTGATAGAACAGTGCTCCTTGTAGTCTGAAAGGGTTAGTCCATCCATCCAGGACTTTTTGTGGAGATTTAACAGCATTTTCTGCTCCAATTCATTCTTCCTGTAGTTTATGCTGATAGAGTAATAGTGGCGATTAAGTCCGTGAATGAGAGCTTGCACTGATGGTTTTTGAAGGTGGCCCAAATTCGATGTGGTCTGCCTAGGCTCCTGACCAAGAACCATCATATTAGGGTTAATGAGGCGGAATGCATCAATGACTACTTTTCCTTTCACTGATTGGATGGGGTCTACCACAACAGCAACTGCTCTCTCTGATAAGGCTTCAAAAGACTGTTGAGTATTTATATCTACTCCTGATAACCAACAACCAAATCCAGGATGGGAGTGATACCTGAAATTGGTTTACAAATTGCTTTAAAACAGTAAAATTCATACCACATGCACTACTGTGTATCATTAATTATCACCACAATTATTTTTAACAAAGAAAACACAGAGCCCCTTGAGTATACTATGTTTACTTTTATATAGATTACACATGTTATATTTCAGTCTGTGTGGTGATGGTTAAGGAATATGGAGTTTGTGTGGTGGTGTGTGTAAGTGAGTGTCATAACAGCCAACTAAGGAACCAAACTCTGCAGGACAACAGCACTGCAAAGCGAAGGAAAGCTTAAAACAATATAATAACATGTCTGGCCAGCATGGTACAGTAGCCCAAAACCTCCTGCCAAAGGAGAGACCTACGTAGAACTATAAAGGCTGTTGATGTTATATTTATTGAAACATGTGCACACTTCTTTGAAATAAGACTATTTGTTAAAAAGCAGTGCTAGAGAAATAATTACTAACAAACTGACTAAACTAAGTAGTACTTTCAAGATCTTATAACTTACTTTACTTACTTAAAGCATAACAAGTGCAGGATACCTGGTTAGAAACATTTAGGCTTGCCCATACGAGGTCAACCTAAATTAGCTACACTTACAGATAATAATGAATGAGAAATATATATACATACCATCCAACAACCATTTCTGGACGACCAGTCTGCTTAAGCATATCCAACATCTTAGCTTGGAAGACAGGGTCAACAGCCTCTACTGATACTCCAGTACCAGTTTGGGGCATGGCAAACACATCAATTACACGTACTGTGTAGTCATCCACAAATTCACCTGAAAGATTAAATTTATAGGCTAGTAAGTTAGCTAATGTAAGGTGAATGATACAGCATTTTAAATCTTGTAATGTTCATAGTTATGTTATAAATGATAGATAAGTACGTCTTTATTGATGCTATCCCCATCTAATACTAACCTAACATAAGACCCATGACTTCCATGGGCACGCCAGCACGACCATGTTTTAACATCTTGAGTAGAGCCAAAGACGAAATATATACTTGTTCAGCAGTATCCACAGCAGGCGCATCTGTTGGTGGCGGTGCCTGCGACAGCCCAGCCATACCTCCTCCAAGGCGTAAGAGACGATCCATTGTGTACTTTGATTATTCTACACTCTAAAATAAAGCAAACTCATAAAGCATCACAATTTGCATATCAACAACTAATCAATAACTTTGTAATGAATGGATTCCAACATTCCTATACGATCTAATAAACACGTAAAATAAAACTTACACAAAGAACTCAAAATCATTTACACTATTTCTGAAAAACTCCGGCCAAAATCCAAAATGAACGGAATCTCAAACAGGGAACGAATGATTTCGATTTATGCACAAAATGACAGCCCACGTCGAAACTGCAAGCTCATGAATGTGTTGCTAGATAAATATTATTTGAGTAATTTACACTGGTACAAATTTACAATTTGACAGAGTATTATCAACCACAATTTGTAAAAAAAAACATCTATTTCTATTACATCCAAATTCTTTACACACACATCTAGAAAATCCCAGTAAGTTTGAAGTTTTAGTCGTTATTTTACATTGGATAGTTCAATAAAATAATATTAAACAAAAAAAACTTAATCAAAGGCTAAACGGCTGTAAACTTTAGACTTTACATTAAAAATTTAAAAAAACTGGTATATATTCTTTTAAGAAACTTCCAAGATAATCTATTGAATTAACTAGTAAAAATAAAAGCATTCTCCATATATTATGATAGTGAATCGAGCCGGATAAGAACCCCCTATTACCCCCAGGCCCGCACTCATGCAGGATGGAGATCGTTCAACGATCTCCGGCGCCTGAGTCGCCTACAGTACCTGGCACGTTCCTGGACTTGGCGGGCTGGTAGAGTTATAAGCCTCTTCAGGTCAGGCTGCGCCTCCTCCTCCTTGAGAATAACTGCGTCAGCCGGTATGACAAGGTCCCGTACTTCCCCTCGAACCTTACCTCTATAACAGGTCTTACCGTTGCTATAATGGCGTGCCTGGCACTTGGTTGCCCAGGTCTTTCCCTCCACTCGTAAACGAGGACCCGGTGGAATTGGCATTTCTGGTCCTCTATTTCAAGAGAGAGAGTCTCAAGAGCCCGACCCAGTACGAGCTCTCCAGATAACTCATCGGGGGCACGATGTCGATGCGAGTGCCTCCTACTATGAGAGTGGATCCCTCAGGCGGCCGCCCGAGTCCCAGCAGTATTCATGGCACGCCTTACTGCACGATACCGCATCTATGGTATCGCCGTCACGAGCTTCACGGACATTGGCTATGACAATTGGTGCCTTGGACAGTTTACGCAGGCTAAGACCGGTCCTCCCTGGGTAGATGACGGCTACGAACTCCACGTAACGCCTGTCATTCTCATTTAGAAGACGTCCGCCGAGTGCACGCGCCCATAAATACATCCTTAAGCGCAACGCGCGGGCTACAGGTGTAGGCCACTGTATGGGTCAATTATTTCTCTGATAAGGCAAAAAAATGAGTAAAACACTAGCATATAATTTACTAAACATATTTTATTTTTATCAAAATGGCTCATAAAATCAACAAAATTTAGATTCTTTATTATAATTTGAAACTTAAACATAAACTTCTTAAAAATCAACAAATATTTGGAAGGGTTGAGTTCTCTTAGTCTTATTTTCATTTAGGAACGTAATATTTATCACAAAAGGCGTTTATTTTAATCTAATTGAATCTATTATCAAAGTAACGGGTAATAAATCAGTCTATTGGCATACATTCCGGGCACACGACTGCCTGATGTTCGCTACAAATACGCCTCATATATTTGCTGCATTGCTTGCGCGTGCCACGGTCGCGAGCCTTACTGCAAAAAGCACACCGACCAAATCAAAAAAGTGCCTTGATTTCTATCACGTCGGTATGAGACGCATCTCTGTCTCTTTGGTATTTGCTTTTATGATATCAATATAAATATTTGTTGAATCAACAAGTACGTTCCAAATATCAGCGTGAAAAAACAGCAGGAATGATAGGAGAGCCGTTTTAGCGTCTTTTGCTACACCTACTGGGCCTGGTGGACGGACTAAAATGTTGTGAGATCTGGTTCTTGAAGTGGACGGTGCAATCTTGCTCCATTTTGTACCATTACGAGACTGATAGGAAGCCAAAGTCGATAGATGCACGTCTTTATCTTCGTCCTCGTCTTCCTCGCCATCTTGTTCCGTATCAGAATGGTGAGGAGATCCAAGCGGGCCACTTTGTTCCGCGGATTCTCCGCCTTCCTCACTTTCGCTCGAAATGTTGTCGTCGTCATTATCCTCCAGCAGCCATCTTTGTATTTGGTCGCACAATCTGTTCGAGTTACCCGCCATCTAAAAAGTGAACAAAACAGAATAAAATACATAAAAACCCATAAATACAAATAACAAACACTTAATAATTAATTAACAGTAAGTTTTGTAGTAATACTGCAACAAATGTTTCATATTTACCTCAATTTCACCACTTACACACTAAACACTTAATTTCCTCCAACGCTCGCGCGGGCTACAGGCGTAGCCCACCAACTTCAAGGGCGATTTTTGCAGACGTCTGTGAGCCGCGGGAGTCGGCACGCTACTGGCGGGAGCGGGGGGTTATGCTTGAAGAATACATTAGACGATTGCGCTGTAGCGCGGCAAACAAAAATTATATACGACAATATTACACGCTGGGTTACATATGTAGCCCGCGCGTGCACTCTAGTGTTAATTAACTAGTAAAATAAAAGCATTCTCCATATATTATGATAGTGAATCGAGCCGGATAAGAAGATGCAGACGTAGTGAGTGTAGCCAGTTGCGAAGTAGTAATACAACGCTATATTTACCTTGCTATCTCGAACGAACGGCCTCGTATTGCCAATCTTTCTTCACGGGGCTGAAACTTAGTCTATTAAAAAACCAGATCGCCAAAAAATCGAGTCGACTATTGAAGATACCCTGGATTAAGTATCAACAGCGCCCGAGCAAGCATCTGATCGTATCTCTCTATCGATACTGCCCGTACTATAATTATTATTATAATAGTATAATATAATATACTATTCTACCGCAATCACACAACGCCATCTAGTCCCCAACTAAGCAGAGCTTGTACTGAAGGTACTAGAAAACTGATATCAATACGAGTACATCTTTTATACTTTTTTTTTATAAATACATACATAATATACCTAGAAACACCATAATAATAGCCACTACTTGACGTTACTAAATGTGTGGTAGTGATACCTGCAAATTTTATTGGCATTTCTTTACTACAACTTTTTTTTACGTTTGAAAATCCTCATGAGCTGCTAAACCACCGATTAATGGTTTGTAAACTGTGCCTGAAATGGAAGGGATCCGATAACTGGCTTTATTAAGACGTCCAGACCTATTTTTCCTCAGCTGTTACCCCCAGGCCTGCACTCATGCAGGATGGGGATCGTTCAACGATCTCAGGCGCCTGAGTCGCCTACAGTACCTGGCGCGTTCCTGGACTTGGCGGGCTGGTAGAGTTATAAGCCTCTTCAGGTCAGGCTGCGCCTTCTCCTCCTTGAGAATAACTGCGTCAGCCGGTATGACAAGGTCCCGTACTTCCCCTCGAACCTTACCTCTATAACAGGTCTTACCGTTGCTATAACCGGTGCTGCCACCCTGCTCACTCGACGTAGACCGGCTGGAGCGCCTCCACGCACTAGTACGTGAAGCATCCAACCGGGATGACCAACAAGTTATCGTGGCTCGGCGAGTGGCCCGGATACCACTCATTTCCGCTTCTAAATCCCATGGGAGAGTTTCATCCTCCTCTGATTCGATCATCCTCTGAGGGTGCTAGAGGAGCACCTTATCCGGGGCGGTCAGAGTTTCCCTCCACACTAGAGCACCGTATAGTGCCATTGAGTGGACAACCTTGTCTACGAGAGAAAATAAAGTGTCTACGAGTCAACCACACCTTAGTGTAATAGTTTTATTTTCATAGCGTTTTCTAAGCAACACGTCAGTAAAATTGCTTTATTGACTCAATTTGTTGTTAGTGAAAAATGGTTAAAGAATTAAACCGAAAACGAGCTCAGTGATTTTGACGATGAAGGCGAGGACCTAAATTTTTAGTCCGAACCGAACCGAACCAACCATTCAGGATTTTAGAGAGCGTCAAGAAACCTCTAACGAGAGTCTGAACACTCTTCTCCCTAATCGGTACCTCACTGCTGAGGATCGTGACTCCCTTTCATCCTGTCAACTATCTGTTTTTATCGGTTGCGATCAGTCGCTCAGTGGAGTACTATTCTTATTAACATGTCCAGCTGTTCAGCGATCTGAGCTGACCATCTTCTGGGACTTCTGCCTCTGAGTCTCTATCGGTCTGAATCTGAATATTGCACGGGTAAAAATTATGTGAACCTCGGGCAGACGTTGCAGTTAGGTAGAAACAACTTCGAGGACGAGGTGAACAGGGGAATTCAGTTGGGTTGGGCAGCGTTTGGGAAGCTACGTTGAATCTTCTCATCGTTGATCCTACAGTGCCTTAAGACGAAAGTTGAACAAGTGGACACTTACGGTACGGCTGGTCCACAAGTTCAAAGTCGCTCAAAGTGCTATGTAAAGGGCTATGCTCGGCGTTTCTCTAAGGGATCGCATCAAGAATGAGGTGATCCCGCAGAGAACCAAGGTAATCGACATAGCCTACCGGATCAGCAAGCTGAAGTGGCAGTGGGCCATATATGGGCATATTAGCCGCAGAACCGACAACCGTTGGGGAAAACGAGTTCTTGAGATAAGACCGCGTTCACGGCAAACGTATTGTAAGACGCCCACAGGCCAGGTGGAGTGACGATTTGAGGAGGGCTGGCAGGAGCTGGATGCCAGAAGCCCAAAATCGATCTAGGTGACGTACAATGGAAGAGGCCTATGTCCAGCAGTGGACTGCGATAGGCTGATGGTGATGACGGGTAAAAATGGATTCTATGGTAAAAGTGGAAGAAAACCATACTTCAATAATCCAACAAAAATAAAAAGAGCTACCAGATATTGTTGCTGTGATTGTTTGAAACCATTTTCCCTTCAATGTACCGTGGGGGAGCCATGCTTCGGCCAATATCGGCCATATACCATGGCCTCACAGAAAACCGGTGTTAAGCAATTCTTTCGTTGCCTTTCATTGAGTGACTATGTTGCCTACTATGTTGTCAGTAAAAATGCAAATATTTTTCAACACGTCAGTCGCAGAGGGTTAAGAGCAATTTTTAATTAATTTAAAAAAAAGATTTATCTATATTTGAAAATTCCTTCAAACTTTAACAGAACTTTAAATTATGTTTCTTGTTCTTTTTTAACATGGATTTAATTATTTTGAATAATTATTACTTCAGACGATACATTTTTAAACTTTAAATAAGGCACATTACATGCCGGGTTCGAGCCACGCTATAAACACATCTACTTGCACTCCATCTAAGCATCCGTATTTTTGAACGGGGTCAAGTTTCAAAATTGGTAGAAATCGTCATTGTCAAAATTTGACAGTTTAATTGTAATATCAATATTAAAACCATAGTTCCAAAAATGTACTGCGGTCTCGTCTAAAAAATTAAAATTTCAAGACCAAACCTAGCACAGAATTAATCATTTTGCTGCGGTAAATTTAAGTAATAGGAGCCAGGACTATGGCTACCAAGACTGTGTTGCCTACTAAGTTGTCTGAAGGGCCTAAAGGTTTAGGTACTGTAACCCCACAACATGGTCCATTTTTAATATAATAATAATGATTATCTATAAAACATCTAATCCTTTCTTTTTAGGTGACCCTAATGACAGAACTCTGAGAAAGGTAGAAGTAGATGTAATGATCCCAAAACTCATAAGAGAGAAGGCTAAAGCAGAAAAATGCACCAAAGAGGTTTCTGAATTTGAGAAATGCTGCAAAGATTCATCACTTTTAATGGTTGTCAAATGTAGGAAACAGAATTCCATTTTGAAAGATTGCTTGGGTGGTTGGTACAAAGATGATGACTTTCGAAAATCATGTACAGAAGAGTATTTAAATCAGAGAAGCGAATATAGAAAAACTGGCATTAAGAAACCCATTAAAAGAGCTTAATGTATTTATTGTTATACTTAGAATAGTGTATATAACATGTTATTAAAAATTTAGAGATTGAATCCATCTTCATTTAAATTTACTGGAAGATTCCTATTTAACAAGATTTCCCTTACACTGTAACCTTTTAAACTTTCAGGAGATTGATATTCACATTTTTCAGGCTCAATGACTTCAGCAATTATTATGTCCTGAAAAGAATGAAAGTAATATTAACTAGAAACACATCACCATAAATAAAAAAAAAAACAAACATTAAGTCAATACATGTTGTATGATTTCAAATATAAGTTAAGTCATTAACAAGTGTTAATTGTAGAATATAAAAACTTATATAGAATAACAATCATTTAGTTATGGCTCACTGCTATAAAGTTTTAAGACTAGAATAAACACTTAATTTAAAAAAAAGCTATTATAATAAACATAAACATTATTGTTGACCAGATTAAGTATGTAATTAAATAAATACCTTTACTGTAGTATGTGCACAGCGTACATGACCAAGCAGTTCAATCCAATTAACTGGTTTTATATCATGTCTTATAATTACTATGTAATCAGAATGTGATATTGCTGGGCCATCTCTGTATAGCACTAAAAGAAAAATGAGACAAACACAACTGTAATAAAAGGTATTATCGTAGTAAATGACTAAATATTCAATGTTGAGTGTAATGTGATTATACCATATTGTAACCCAAAAATTGAATCGGTAATCTGCTAGTCTTGTGTGCTGTCAGTTGTGAGATCGAAAGTCGATCGGAACTGAATTGAGACCAAACTTTTATCACAAGAATTGGCCTTCTGAATGCGACACTAATTTTGATACTTATTTATAGTAAATGAAAAAAAAATTACGATGCTCATGTGGTGATAGATTAAGAATACGGAGTGTCGCCACCCCTGTTCATCCTGTGAGTGTCGTAAAAGCCGACTAAGGGGGGGCAAACTACGCAAGACTACAGCATTGCAAAGAGAAGCAAAACTTGACACAAACCTTATACCAATTTGTCTGGAAAGTGTGGTATAGCAGGCCAAACCTCCTTTTTAAGTTCTTAAGAGACCTTTGAAAATAATTATATATACATATATATTATAGACAAATTACACCGAGACACAGAACAAATGATCATGCTCATCACACATTATTTGTCCTGGGTGGGAATTGCACCCACAACCTCTGGCTTTGCAGTCAAGGTCACTAACCACTAGACCAACAGGCCGAATAAGGAGGACTTCACTGCATATCAGAAAAGTGCATACGACATCACATCTTCAAAGCATCATATCTAACAATGGTTTGTGAATGTTAAGTAAGTATCAAACATTTTAATGTTGTATGATTTTAATAGTTGAGGTTTAAAATAAAAATAATAGTACCTAGCATTGCAAAAGAAAATTTAGTATTGTTAGTGTGAGATACTAATACACAAAATAGTTGTAATCAAATAACAGGAGAAAAAATATTTGCTCCAGTGATTTTGTTTCTTGGCACTACCCGATCCAATTGTAATAAAATTTAACATGGAGATACTTTGACTATTTAAAAAGGACATAGGCTACTTTTTACAGTGATAAACAATATAAATGCAGCCAAAGCGAGCAAGTAAACTATAAAGTGCTTTGTGTACAACATATTAAATTAGACTTGCAACGAATAGTATATTCGGCAGTATACCGAATACCGAATATTCGGCGAGGCCCCTGACCGAATAGCCGAATATTAGGCAAAAGTATTCGGCTGGATTTTAGCGCCAAAAACTTGTACAGACGTGAATTAAATTATGTACCTGTTTTATGTACCAATGACTACTTAATAAATGATTATAAAAGAAATGAGAACCTTACCCTTCTAAATTTTGATTTCCACTATAATTCAAATACATAGAATCCTCCATTTTTCCTATTCAGAAGATGATTATGTACCTGTGTTATGCACCAATGACTACTTAAATGATTATAACAGAAATGAAAATATGAATATATACGTAATCAATCGATTTTAATTTTTCATTTTACCAATTATTTCTCAATTACAAAATATATTATTTAAGTATTCGGTATTCGGCCGAATAATATGTAGATATTCGGTATTCGGCCGAATATAATAAACGCAGCCGAATAGGCCGAATACCGAATAGTAACCGAATATTCGTTGCAAGTCTATATTAAATACAACACCTTATATAAAATATTTACGCTACTTTGAATGTTTTATTATCCTAAAACTTAAAACTATGCAAACCAGCAGAAACCAAGGAGATTTTATCTTTCAAAAATGCTGATCTTCAAAGGATTTTACAGGTCTGTTGGTTTAGTGGTTAGTGTTCCTAACTGCTAAGCCAGATGTTTTGGGTTTGATTCCCACAGCCAATAATTGTGTAATGAGCATGATGATTGTTCAGTTCTGTATCTGACTTTAATTTATTTATAATATGTCACACGGTTATTTGCACAATACCTATGCCTAAAAACCAGGTTAATTCTTTTTGTCTGTCTGTCTGATTTACCGGGTAATCTTCTAAACAGCTGGACCGATTTTGGTAATACTTTAATACCAGGTAGTTCTCTATAAAAGGAGTAACTTAGGCTATTTTTTCTCTCAGAAAACCCCCATAAAATTTTGCTCTGTGCTTTTCAAAGTCAAGTCAACGGTACCAGCTAGTATAGAAATAAATGTGACAAATTCTCTCATTGACCTAAGTGAAATTAATTAAAATATATATATTAATATTTGTGTAATCTAAAAAGCTGTTTAATTTTCTAAGAAAAAAAGGCAAATACATTCTTGGTAAATTACTAATGGTTAGTTAGTGTGTGCTGTTTCATTTCTGTAATAAAAAATACATGTCCACCATTATCAGTAGAGATTTCTACTAAAGTATCAATACCAAAATTCTTACAATAATCTCCACCAAATTTAATTCCTGGTTTCACCACATAGCCTCTAGATCTGTAATAATGAAAGACCACATATTTGGCAATAAAATGTTTATCCAATGTTGTGAACAAATCCCAGCAACTTTCTATGTTTAATAAAGTGTTATCAAGATTTACTATTTGCAAACACCCCAGGCCATACAGTAGAAAAAATGCTTCCTGTGGTGACAGAATCAATTTTTCTTGAGTTTTAATTTTATTTACACAACATTTTGGTTGCATGTTTTCAAAGAAATTCTCTCCTTCGGAGTCACTGTTTGGAACTACAACAACAATATCCTCTGTACCGGAACTATGTAGCTGTTCAGTGCATTCTCTCACTTCATCGGTAAAATCGGATTGATCATCATTGTCCTCATCACTAGACACCAAATCTATGACATCTTTTTTCGATTTCTTTTCACAGTCACTTATTATTTTGGATGTTATTTCACCAACATCTTTCATGAAATTATCAGCATCAGCTGTACTTGTAGAACTGCCAAACTTTTTAAACCAATAGTTTCGTTTTAAATATTGTCTCTTACGCATAATGCGCGGATTATGATTTTCGGCAGCCTTTGGTTGCGAGCGTGATGCAGATCCTTTACCGAAACATCCCATGTGATACAAGAGTGTCATCTCCTCGACAGATTTTATTTCTACATTATATCCATTGTAGTAGCCGGTAAACACAATTCGCATTGAATTATCTAATGGAAAACGCAAACGCAACGATTGTACAGCCATCGGAAATGAGTAATTTAGGTCATTAGTTTGACAATCTTCTGCATTGCAAAGTAGGCATGACAAAAGAACTGGCCAGTTCCCAAATTTATTTACAGCCAAATATGACAGTTGAGTTCGGCTAAGACTTGTAGAGCGCAAATTATGATACTGAATCATAAACAGTCAAATTTTAATTATTTATAGTATACCAAATAATTATTTTTTAATATGAATCGTATTCTATTGAAACGAAATTTATAAGATACGGTAATTTTATCGACGTTTCTTTTAATTTTAATGAACACAATAATGAACAAGCTCCAGGCCCACGAAGAATTCAATGGTGAGTAGCTTTTATTACGAAATACCTAATTTAGGCACATTCTTTGATTCTAAACATACTAGGATTTAGAATAACGCATTCGCAAAAATCAATAGAAAGTAGAAACATATCTTGCGTAATCATTTGGGAATAAATAGCTATTTTATTAAAAATGACATCAATAATTTTGCAAAGCTCATTAAAGTATGTCAAGGCTCTGTCAGTAATGGACGCTATAAAATAAACAGTTGCAGAAATTGATACTAAAACGAATACTGAAAACTAAATATTGAAATTTAGGCAATAATTACATATTAATAACAATATTTAATTTCGGCGAACATCTTATTAATTAATACCTACAGTAATCTAAATTGATTAAATATACTAAAGCTGTATAGTCTTCTGGCTCTGTCTGTATCTCGGAAATATAATCTCAAGCCATGACAATCGGCTTCAAAAGGTTTGCAATTTGATTTTTTATTATGTTTTAATGATAAAATATGTTTGAAATTTTTAAACACACTTTCACAATTACTTTTTGTTGAATAAAGCGTATCTCCATCTCCAAAATCTGGTCCTATAAATAAAGCAACAAGAACATTGAAAAACAAAAGTAAATATTTGAACTTGATAACACAGTTTTTAAGCACAAACGTTTGCCGAATATTAGTATTATTAGAGATGAATGTGAGTGAAATAATTTTTAGAACTTTTTGCAGCAAAAAATATGGTTTTTGTAAAGCAAAACTCGAATCAGCCTAAAAATAAGTTGAGGCTGAAAATAAAAAGCTATGAAGATAGTTATTACCTGTGGGTAATAACGAGTTTCAAAACTATTTATATACAATATTCTGTCCTAAAGGGATAGCTTAAATTTATTATACACTTTCATTGCCCGCTACTTAGTTTCACTGATGTCGGAAAACAACTAATAAGGTTCAGAGCTCATAAAGAAGCCCGTCACGTCTTCCTGGTGGTGCTGTACTGTAACTCTTTTTTTCAAAAACTACACTTTACAGGCAATGAACCTGGATGAGTCCCTACGGTTCCACAAGACGTAAAATAGATTTGATCATGACCATCAAATATACAATGATGTTTCTGTGATTGTTAAATTGACATAAAAAGACATTCTGGAATAAAACCCACCCAACTACCCATCAAGAGGGATATCGCTACCAGACCTCATATGAAATCAATCAATCAATTACACACATTTACACATTCACCTAAAATTTGTACTTGGCTGCTGCCAGCGACTTTATCAGAGTCGAAAATGAATTAATATTTCTTAGCCAACTGCCACGAAGCCAAAAAATAAAGATATCTAGATAAGCACAGAATTAAGACATTCGTCTTGACTGAACTTAGAATTTATGTGTTTATTGGAAGGCTGCATCTGGGATTTATTTTAATTACCTTACATTTATTATGATTACAATAGAAATAAGAATTTCATTCCACATTATACATACATTAAATATAGTCAAGAATGGTATCGTTAACAAAAAAATGGTGTCGTTTGCACGAATTTTGTAACGTCTTGTACCTATGCACTCTTTTTTTCTGATATAGCATTGCTATACTTAAAAATCTATTTGACGTCCCGTTTTTTCTGAATTTTGCAAACTTGTAGAAAGACAATGTTGACAACCGTTTTATCAATATTGGTGTCTCTTTCTTTCTAGCACGGGTTGTCTTTATCAGAGAAGGTAAGAGAAAAATTATCACTGTAAGTAAAACTAACGTCATTCTTCGTAGTCACAAGACCTCTCAGCTGAGGCTGTCTTCATATTTCTGTTTTTCTAAGTATAAAGTTTTTCTATTCTTCTTTGGAAATAACAGACTTGCATATAAAAATCTTAAGCCAAAATGGCTAACTTTGGGGATGAAAATGTAAGGCAGCTAATGCCTTCGCTGCGTGATGAAAAAATTGGTAAGTAATCCTTTACGCACTGAAAGTAAATTTTCCTTTTCTCCAATCAATTAAGTCATAATGTTCTCCAGATATGATTGCGGCCACCAGCGTTTTGCAAATCCGAGCTAGTGAAATTCGCCAGACGCAGATAAACTGGCAGTCGTATCTGCAGTAAGTATTGATTTGATTCCTATATTAAAAATTCTTATTGCCTGATGCAGTGTATTTTGTTCATCTATTTAATATTATAATTGCTGTCAGATCACAGATGATCACGCAACGTGACCATGATTTCATCGTAAATTTGGATCAGCGCGGCCAGAAAGACCTTCCGGATAAGAATCCAGATGCTTGTGCTGATGTGTTTTTGAACTTGCTTACTCATATTAGCAAGGATCATACCATCCAGTACTTGCTGGTTTTGATTGATGACATCCTTTCAGTAAGTATAACTTAAAATTTTATAATGATTTTTATTAGTTTTTGGACAACAAAGAACTAAGAAAAATCACATAAGTAAAAAGTCTTATAATAATATGTAGTGCCTGATCAATACGAGTTTTACACATAGAATTTGTTATCAATAATAATGATATCAATTAAATGTTACAGACTATATATTGTATATGGCATTAATATTCTTATTTTATATACCTATATAATAATATAATTTACAGGAAGACAAGGCTAGAGTAAAAATCTTTCGTGAAGCGAAGTCTGGCAATGTATGGCAGCCATTCCTGAACCTTCTGAATCGTCAGGATGAATTTGTACACCATATGACTTCCCGCATTATTGCCAAGCTGGCCTGCTGGCACCCTAATCTGATGGAAAAAAGTGATTTGCACTTTTATCTCTCCTGGCTCAAGGACCAACTTAAAACTAATGTGAGTTTTTATGAATCCTGTACTGTTCTCAAAAATTTCAATCAACATTATGTATAGTGCATCCTTCTATATGCATGTTGTTTTTATTTGGTTTATGCATGCATTGAGTATGATACTTAAATATTTTGTGAAATGATTATTTTTATTAAGATTTCATTTCAGTGATTGAAATTTTATCACTGCATGGTAACATCAAGCTGATAGATATCATTCTAAAAGCATATTTTTAAATATTTATTATAGTAATCATCTTTTTATTCATCACTAATAATTATAATACTAACAATTATTTAATATCTGTAATACTTTTAATTCAAGTGACTTTTGTTTGTAATTAAGTGATTATAGTATATCTTATAAACAAAGTGTAAGTCAGTTAACCATCAAATAAGGTAAATGTTTTAGTTAGCTACTCACAATCTTATACATCATCTCATTCTTAAAAATGTATGATGATATTGTGAGGATTTGAAAATAAAACATACACATAGGAGTTCTTTTGTTAATTTAAATGCAAAATGTAGTAGCAAGTTATTTACTGAACATTAAAAAAAATTGATGTTAGAACATACCACATGTGTGACAAATGTAACTTCAATTGTTTAGTGCTAAGAGTTCAGGAGGAAAGGCACATCTATTTCTCATACAGGCTACTTATTGCAGGATAGATATTGACATATTTTATGGTTTGGTACCCACTTGCAACCTCCAATAGTAACATATAAATAGGAATATATTATGAAAAAAATAAATAAAAGGACCTTAGTAATAGTAAAATGTTTCAAGATGATGACATATCTGTTGTAATAGAAAAAAACAATTATATAGATTATTTTTGACTGTAAGAATGTAGGACTGATTATGGACCTTGTTTTTAGGGCTTCAGCAGAGTAGGTTCTTATTACATGGCCTAACTATATGTGCACATATCACAGCCTTAAAAATAAAATGTTATCATATCAAAGTCACTGTAACTTCATGTATTTGGCTTAAATTTCTTCTTCTATCTCACTATTTCATTTTTCCGTCATCCTATTCACTGTAGAAAAAAAATGTAATTTTGATTAGCAGCTAAATATAATATGTCATATAAAATAGAAGTAGCAGATGTATATCAAAAGAAACAGCTTAACACTTCAATCGTTCCTCGTCAATGCTTATTGCGCTATACCAAATTGGTATATCTACATCATCAATGTGTCTAAACTGACTGAAACATAACAAAATGTTGTGAGTATCACATGCAAGCATCATATATTGGGACTTTGATGAGAAGTAGATGAATTGAACTGAGAGGTTTGTTTTCTGGTAAGGCGGAGGAAATGTCTGCCGAGTTAGAGCATGCTGAGCAGGTTATGTTGCTGCACGAGAAACAGAATTTCGCGGCCGATAAACAGCCAAAACATCATCATCATCAGAAGGAAAAAGAGCCTACTGACTCATCGCAGGAGAAGTACTCAAGCCTTTACAGCTCTTTTGATGAGCTGAAACCGCTTGGTGACTTGCCTCCCGGTCTGCACAAGGTATTCTTGTACTAAGTAGATGTCGATATGATGATTGTAAAATAAAAACAGTATAATAAAGTGTTGACTAACCTCTTTAGTAAGTTTAAAATGTCCCTAACAATGTGTGTATATTACCTAATATAATGTGCATATTTAATAATTGATGTTCTTGCATGCTTACACTAACTTAATTGAATACACTTGCATGCCTTAGGAGGCTGTCAAGGCACTGTGCATGCATGTTTATAAATGATAATTGATGACTGCTTATCGTTAAATGTGTTAAAAGAAAGACATTATTTATAATAACTTCACAATGTACAATGTTTAAATAATGTATTTTTATATAAAAAAAAGAAATTTAGAATAAAATATAATAAACTTGGGTAAATTAATTATATACAAGCTGTTCCAAAAAATGTCCTTAAAATATAGGAGTAAGTAAGTATATCTGAATTTTCTTTAATTTGGATTAAAGAAAAGAAAAGTTAGGTAATGATGTATGTGCACATTTGTAAAAAACAATATGAATGTTCTTGCTAATTTTCAGTACCAGTTTTAAACTTTATAATAATATATATATATAATAATAATTAACTAATATCTTCTGCATATTAAATGAATCAAAAATTCTTCAAATTTTTACTCCAAAAATTCTTCAAATTTTTACTCCAAAAATTCTTCAAATTTTTACTCCAAAAATTCTCCAAAACTTATTGTAACACTGCATATATTTATGTATATTATACATAAGACAAATTTTAAAATCACTTGACGTATTAAGAAAAAATCGCAATTCGTTATGATGCCCAAAACAGAACATCTTTCCATAATAGTTCCGCTCAAGTAGCCTCGCCTAGTGCGAGGCTTTACATTTAAATTATAAGCGAAAATCTTTCTAGCCCGTTTGACAGGAATGATTTCCAAGCACCAGTTCAGGTTTTATAAAAACACTTCTCGATTGAACTATGTCATCGTCTAACAGACGTTGTTTCGAAAAAAAAGAAAATAGCTATGCGGCTGTTCAGGCTGTAATAAATGAAATAAATCTTCCAAACTCTCTTTACCACAAAATGAACGTAAAACACCTTGAAGATAGGCTTTTTCAAGATAAACAGAGAGATGTTCAGGTTAACCAAGATCTTACCTCACGAAGAATCGGGATTAACCTCAAGTTTTAAAACCCGCACTAGCTTATATGTCAAAGAGCTATGAATAAAGCAATATACACTTACAACTCTGATATAAAAGAACATATCTGAACCTCCGGCATTTTCTTTGGGGCTCCGCTTGCAAGACTAAGTGTAGTGTGCATTCACCGTGTTCAAAATAACATTCTGCATATTATCTGAAATCCATCGTGGCTCTTCAAAATCGTTGTGATTCACGAATGGCTTAAAGTTTAATTTGCGTTGAAACTGAAGTGGTACGTTAATGAACTCTTAATCCGACGAAAAGACTGATCTCTCATCATTTTATCGGCATCGTTTTCGTTTTTAAATAAGATTTTTTTTCTGTCAGAAAACTACAAAACCTGCATCAAACTGCAAAGGTGTGTGTTTTTTTAGAAAGAACACTTTATATCAATATTCGCTTGGGTATTGTAATGATAGAAAATCTTGAAAACGCAAAAAAAAAACTGTTTAAGAAAACAGATCTTAAAAGTTCTACAAGTTTGAAAAAATCTAGTTGTGATCATTATTCATAACTTCCGCCTATCTTAAGGTGTAAATATAACGAGCGGAGTAAATATAGCGAGGGTTGTATAGGTTGCCTTATTAGCTAATTCTCAAGCGGAATGTTTAAAAGTGTTTCCTGCGTCTTTTGATTCCGAGGTTTTTTGAGCTTAGGTCCGCCCAATCTTCTTCCGCCACAAAAAAAATTACCAAATTCTTTTACGAGTAATATTTATTATATTAATATTTTTATCTATGTAATTTCAATTTATTATATAAGAAAATTACCAAAACATTAGGGTCATTTTCTTCTTAAATAGTTTCTAGGTGGAAATATTTGTTGGTCTTGAAAAATATGTATACTATACTAATATTGTATACCCCTAGTAGCATTATGTACGTAGTACATACTTTTTTCTTGCTTTTTAAATATTTTTATAAACCTATGCTGCAATGTAATCACACTTTTTTCTATTCCAATTGTTACTCAACTTAGTCCTATGTATGTTGTAGTCTAAATAGGAATATTAAGCTGGGTAGCTTGGATTTTTCTGAGGGGTGGAAATGTAACTATTTTTCATATTTTTATCTTTAAAAATTTTGTACACAGAACAACGACTACATCCAGTCGGTGGCTCGCTGCCTACAAATGATGCTCCGTGTCGATGAATACCGCTTCGCTTTCCTGTCTGTTGATGGCATTTCGACCCTACTGTCTATTTTGGCCTCCAGGGTCAATTTCCAGGTTGGTGGTAAACTAGTAAAGCATTTTAATCTACTATGTAGTAGTAGTTTAAAATGATGTAGGTGTATGTCCTCATAGTTAACGTCCTAAACGTACTATGCCTTACTTTTGCACATTAAGGTAGGTACTACTTTAGAGAATTATAATTTTTAGTTCACCAAACTTATATAATTAAGATATCTTTATTGACACAACATTACCTAATATTGTGATAAGGTTTACAAAAACTTATCACATTTAAGGACTAGCAGCAGATTATTATTATCCTGTAATGTAAATTAAACCTTGGCCTGCTGATGCCATTCAAATGAAACTATTATCACCCAGATTGATTAGTGATTGGTTAGTGGTTAATCTTTTTTTATTTTTTATTATATTAGGTGCAATACCAGCTGGTATTTTGTCTGTGGGTGTTGACATTTAACCCACTGCTGGCTGAAAAGATGAACAAGTTCAATGCCATCCCTATTCTGGCTGACATCCTGAGTGATTCCGTAAAGGAGAAGGTTACCCGCATTGTGCTCGCTGTCTTCCGAAACCTGATTGAGAAGCCTGAAGACCAACAGGTATTGATATGTACTACTGTTGTTATATTAATATACATACAGTTAGTATTCTTTTTTTAATGTCTTGTACCATTAACCTTTTTAAAACACAGTGAGTGGTATGAATTTAGTTTATGTAGATTAGAAAAAAATATTCCTGCCGGTTTCCATTACCACCTTTAACTATAAATATACAGACTGTTATGTACCTCTTACAGAAGCTGGTAACAGCATGTTCTGCACTTTATTTCTAGACGATTTGCAAAATATGAAAAAAAATATTCAGTGGTTTAGAAACAGGACTTTTTTTATGTTTTCGTATTTTGCAACATCGTGTGTACATGCAGTCATAATACATTGACCTCAGGCGGCGATCAGCTGTAGGTATACGCGGCGCGGTAATCACACGTTGCCGCTTTTACTACACTCGAATCGAAAGAAATATGTTGATTATTGCGTCATCACGATGAAGGACACGCGTTTTTAATTAGTTCATCCAGTAAGGACCATTGATATAATACTTACATAGATGAGTAATTACCGCCTAAAATCGTTGCTACTGCACATCTGTCCACAGGCATATGCGTAGCAAACGTCAATTCAGTGTTCAATGTGGCGTCAACCGAGTTGAACATAGCGACACATGACAGTAACAATCGCCAAAATGGGTAAATGCGTAGTGAAAGAATGCGATTCAAGGTCACAAAACCATAATAAATCATGCGGAATTACTTATCACGTGTACGTTTATGGTTTTTGTATTGATAATATCGTAAATAAGGCTATAATTGAAATAAAACATTGATAATTGTAATTTAGAATCAGTGTTACCATTAAAAAATCATTTTTGTTTTCCCACATTAGTGGGAGAATTTATAATTTATGTCAATAATAATAAAATATAGGAAGAACGGTAGTTGTTAGGGCTGAATCGATCACTTTTTTTAGGGACCCGTTGAACGTTCACCTTCTGCCAAGCTCGCAGTGCTGGAGACTTTTGTATAAAAGAATTAATTCATTAATTCATTCATTTTTCTTAATTAATTATCAAATATAAATAACAATTGTACAAAAAAATATATATATATAAAATAAAAAAGTAATTAAATATAAATAAAAAATATATATATACATATATATATATTTTTATTTGTATTTTAAAATATTAAAAGAATTTGCAATACACCCTGGGGATTATTTATTATCAGTACAAGTTGATCATTCACTTTTACTATTAAATGCCATTATTTATACATAGGTAAAAATAAGATTGTATCATGAAAGTAAAATATTCACACAAACTTATAAAAAAGAGTCTAAAAAACAATTGTATACAAAACTGATGCTTCATAGCGGAGTTTGATTTTACACTGAATGTAAACCCTTTTAACCAAATATTTCTAGTTATTTTATTATTTATACCTATTCCATTCAATTCGAAATATATTATTTAAAATATTTAAATTAATTTATTTTATTACAAAATTGTTTTAAAAAAAAATTGTTTCTTGGTTGTTATGGGTAAAATTTCATGCGGTAGTCAACACTGGCCCACCATCGTATAGTTATGTCTTTGTCTAATCCGAGCGATGGTATTGTTCTTGTCTCGCGTGTAAATGAGACATAAATATGTTTACTTTCAAATGTTTAGTGGTATCAAAGCTACGTCGTCAAGGTTCAAAAGTGGTTACACTTTTTTCGACGTGTGATAATGAGGTTTGCTTCTCTAGTGTTGTTTTAACTCAATGGTAAGGACAGTCAGTCGGCCCTTGGCCACCGGCGAGTGTTAGTGTGTCTGTATCCTTGTAGATGCGCTCATGACAAATAAACGTAATAATAATATTGTTGTTGTTCATGAGATACATATTTGTTTAGAAAAGTTTTCTTGTGCTAATTGTTTAGTCTTATTGTTTTCGTCATAATACACGGCAATGGTGTGAACAATTAATGTTATTGTGTGCGCAAGACTTCGTAATGTAACGAGTCATGCTAACTTTATTTTGAAAAGTGACTATTAGGTTCTGTGTGTGGTGTAGTCTGAAACTGAGTGAATTATCAGTCTTTTAATTTAATTGGGTTATCGGTATAAACATCCATAATGCCGTGAGTGACCTTCACAGCCGCGGAATATCCTGCCATGATGTTAATTTATGGGAAACTCTATCAAAACGCATCTTTTGCTTTACGGACAGGTATGGAGTCAATCGTGTATGTCCTACAGACTGCCGAATTTTTGTAAGGGCGGTACAAAGATTACGAGACAACCAAAAGTACCTACTTTTTCAAGGAGTGACACGTACTGCCGGGTCCGAAGCTAGTCGAGCATTCCCAAAATAAACACGTGTATAAAATCGTATTCTTAATAAATAGATTTAAAAAAGCAAGTGAAGTGATTAGTAGGTAGGTAATAAGAATGTAAAGTTCGCCGGCTCGTCGCGGCGGCGGCGGCGGCGTCGCTTTGATGTCGCCGACAGTCGACATTGCGACGCTGCCGTGTAGGTACAGTTCACCGACTCATGTTATCAATGGTGTTCTAATTCGGCAATTGTTTTATTGTATTTATTTTGTTCTAAATTTGCATTTCTGTATTTTCTTACTATTTTTTTTATTTTTTATTTTAACCGACGTATATTGAACCGTGTTATCTGGTGTTTCATTTTTTGTGATATGTATCATAACACCCGTTATACTTTTTCTGTTAAGGTTGCTAAAGAGCACTGCATTGCTATGGTCCAGTGCAAGGTCCTGAAGCAGCTGTATATTTTGGAGCAGAAGCGTTCTGATGATGAAGATATTATGAATGACGTGGAGTTCCTAAACGAGCGTCTCCAGACTTCCGTTCAGGACCTTAGCTCGTTTGACCAATACGCCACCGAAGTTAAGAGTGGCCGGTATGTTACTTGGTTTTATTGTAACTTGTATAGTTTATTTTATATTTATATTGTAAATTACTTGAAGAAAACTAACAAGTAGCAAACATACAAACTTGAAAAACTAACTTTGAGAGCTCACTATTGAAAATATAATTATTAAATTTGCAAGACTTAATTATTAGAGTTATTTTTGTGATACTTATTACAGTTTGGAGTGGTCTCCTGTGCACAAGTCAGCGAAGTTCTGGCGCGAGAACGCGGTGCGCCTAAATGAGCGCGGCCAGGAGCTGCTGCGGACCCTCGTGCACTTGCTAGAGAAGAGCCGTGACCCCGTTGTGCTGGCTGTCGCCTGCTACGACGTCGGCGAGTACGTGCGCCACTATCCCCGCGGCAAACAGTACGTATAGCCTCTCATGATCAAGAAAATTCTTCTAATTCTGTAAACATAAATGATCTGACGTTGATGACGGTTAGTGATGTGGAAGTGTAATTTATACTACCACATAACTAACCATAAAACGACAGATATTAAATCTATGATAGGTGATGGTGTGAATTAAGGTGAAAACCGTGTAAATAAAAATGAAGAATAAATGTGTTACTAGTTCACATTCATGTTATCAAATTGAAAATTTCCCATTTAAAGATGTGCCTGTGTTTTAAGTACCAGTAGGGTTCAAAAATGCATCTCTTAAATAACCATGTTTATGTACATATTATTTGCTAACAGCATCATCGAACAACTGGGCGGTAAGCAGCGCGTTATGTACCTACTGAGCCACGAAGACCCCAACGTGCGATACGAGGCACTATTAGCCGTACAAAAACTCATGGTTCACAACTGGTTAGTTTTATGACGAATTAACAAACCTGTTACATTTTCCTAAAGACAATTTTTTTTAAACAATAATTTTCCATAACCGATTTAAATATTCAGTTATAAATAAACTATTTTTATTTAAAAAAATATCTCCTTTTTCAGGGAATACCTGGGCAAGCAGTTGGAGAAGGAACAAATTGACAAGCAGGCAGGCACCGTCGTAGGAGCTAAGGCCTAAAAAAAATGTTATATATTTAAAGGAAATATTTAATTTGTTGTTATTATTGTTGTCTAGAATGATATAGGGCTTTATAACACATTAGCCATTATATAGTGTGTAATAAATGTAAATAATGTGCCTCCAGTCATTCTGATGATGCATCTGTGCAATTAAGTTATGTACCTACTAAATCAACAATCGCATGCAATTTATTGTGAAAAGTTACACCTGAATACAATTCTTTAATTTGTATAATGTTTAGACTACACATTCCTCTTAATGTTCATATTATATCTAAATGAAATATAAAAATGATTATATATAATATTATATATTCAATAATTTTGAAATTGAAATAGATTATTAGCAGTTTGTGATGTGATACAGACTACATCAGTATTGTGAATAAAGTTCATATATTAAAATGTGTTTTGTTTTATAGGTACATACGAACTATTATAGTTAAACCTTGGCCTTGGCCCTCCTGATGGTTTGGGGGACGCGGGGCGGGGGTGTATTCAACCAATTAGCTAGTGCGTCGCTGTCCGCCGGCAGTGACTGACGTGAAGGCATGGCTGTACGTGTTATTTTTCTTAAAACTACACACGGTATTATTTTGCAACATGGATAATCTGCCGACTCTGCGTCACAAAAAGATTTAAAAACTTGAAGTTCGGCCTACATAGGTTCTATTGTTAAAGTTCTAATAAATAATATTTATTATTTTACTTAAATTTTAAAATTGTATCTGAATATAATTTACGTGATGAAGATAAGGTGATTTTATTAAAATTATTTTACAGTATTAAATTTTACAATTAATCATAAAAACTTACAATACACTGACATTATAATACATGGAAATTAATTCGATTTTTATTACATCGTGTGTAGATTAAATCTCAAACAAATAAATCTGAAGATATTGAGTTAGTACATCGTGTCATGTATAGCCGAGCGCATCACCCGCCCCGCGTCCCGCAAACCATCAGGAGGGCCAAGCTTACGGCGGTTTAACTATAGTGACTATACTAGATCTGGCGATACGGATTTCTTTTGTTTCAGTCAATGCCTTGACTGCACGGATGGCGTAGTGGTTAAAGCGGTCGCCACGCCGCTTCCTATTACGACGAGTTCAAACCCCACATGGAACAACACTTTGTGTGATCTACAAATTGTTGTTCTGAGTCTGGGTGTACTTTGTGTCCGTTTCATGTATGTTTGTAAAGTCCCCCGCGACACAGGATTTATTCCTAGTGCGGGAGTTGTCTTTCTAAAGTAAAAAAAAAAACTTGAACTTGAAATGACAATAGGTGAGGACAAAAATGATGACATGACCTGTTTCCACTTGCAATTCGCGTTATTTTTCATATATAGTATCACGTCTGACCTATTTAATTGGTTATAAAGAAAGCGTTGTTATCCCATAGAGATAACACAAATAGAGGAGAGAAGCGAGCCACGATCCGGGAACGTCGGCAGTAAGAAGATGGCGGTTACATGCGTCTCTCTCGCACATCTACGCTGATTTGGTGGCCCGAAGCGGACGAGGAGAGCAAGCAAATAGCAAATAAGCAAATCAACGAAGAGGTTCGAGAGGATTGGATTGCCTGTAAGTGGAAACTTACAGCCAATCCAATACCTTCTCTTCTCTATTTGTATTATCTCTACGTGTTATACCAGTTAAAAACTTTGAACTTTCCGTGTCGTGTGAATAATTTTAAAAGTCAAATGAACTAAGGTAATTTTATTAATATTATATTTTTATTACTAAGTCATTTCATAACTACTATCTTTTCGTGGATAGTTCTGTTGTTATTTAGCACAGAATAACAACTCGCAGTCGAGGTAAATATGATAGCTAGGTAAATAATTAGGAAAACAGTAATTTATTGAGTAAGGTAAAGGTAGGGACAATTTTTGGATTCATAGTCCTATAAAATAAAATTGAAACTATTACGATAAATATGCGAATTTCAATATTCAAAAGTTATTTATTTCTCGATAACAATCATAATATCATGTGTACCTAAAGCAGGAAGTCAGAATATCTGAAAATGCAAATAGCATTGCGTGATCGCTTGCCGTTCAAATTTGAACAGACGGGGGTTGCTAATTTCGCATTAACACACTAGAGATCGTTCGTAAAATAAAAGCACGACGGTTGCGATTACAATATACACACGATCACACTAGATTTATGCAGTTCTTTGGTTCTACTAGTACCTAGGTTGCTATTATGTTCTCCATGTACCTACAGCCATACAGCACCAACAATTAATAACAGTAGAACAACAATTAATTGTATTTTGGAGCCCTATGGTTTCTTCGAATTTCATTAGCATAAAAAAGATTCATAAAATGATTTAGCATATAAAGGTATCCTAATTTCACAAAAACAAGCAACGATGGCATAATATCTATCTAAGGCGTCGATAATCGTCGTAATTTACATCAATAAACTCTGAAGTGGTTAGAGGTTCAACCCCACACATGAAGTAGACTACCAACGTACATGTATGACGAAATAATTGCTTTTTTATGCGTACAGAAATAATTAACTAATAGTAAACATGGGTACAACCGTAGAAAGTAGCTATCTATGGTCCACATTTGTTTTGGTCACACTTTCTGTCATTTGTCTCATTTCAATTAGAGATGTTACGGTCTGGAATATTGTCAAGCCGATTTGAATCGGTTAGGTATCTCGTGCAAATCGAGTATGAACCGAACCGTTGAAATTGAACCGTATGAAGAGTTGACCAACGAATGTGACCAACATGATTCGACGGGATTGATTAAACCGTAGTTTTGCGATTTGCCAACGGTTTGCAACCGAGTTTACATACAAGTGTAAAACTTGACATTACCTTTTTTTTTTTTTTTTTTATAATCTGCGCCTGTAACAGGAGGGATCCGGGAACAGCTGTTGTTAAGACATCCGGACCCCTCCTAGCGCCAGCCCGCTCCTGGTGCGGGCTCCGTCTCAGTGTTGTTCCTCTCTTTAGGCGACGTCCGGCACACGCGGACGCCGCCCCCTCGCGGCTGGCCAACTAATGCGGGTGGAGGGGAAACCCACCCCGTCCACCCGCGGCCACACTCAGGGCGGCATGAGGCTGTGGTAGGCGGGCCTCCGCCGCCCGGTTCGCTGGCGGCGGATCGGGTCCGAGTGGAGGTCGTCCTCCCGGGCCCTCTCCGCCGCCTCCTTCCGCGAGATTACTACCTCGCAGAAGGTTGCGACCGCGGTAAAACAACTGTCGCTACCGGCCATGGAGCGTACTACGGCCGGTAGCGAGAGATCCACTCCGATGACTGCAGTGAGGGCCCGGCGCTGCGCCGCCCATGCGGGGCAGACCGCCAGCGTGTGCTGGGCCGAGTCCTCACTGCAGTCGCAGTGGTGGCAGGCGGGACTCAGTTCCCTCCTAACGACCGTGTGCAGGTACTTTCCGAAGCAACCGTGCCCGGAAAGCACCTGCGTCAGTCGGAAGGAAAGGGTCCCGTGCTGCCGCCCTGCCCACTCGGCGATGACCGGCTGGAGAGCCTCCACGGCGGCGAAGCCAGCGCGTGGAGTCTCCAGCCGGAACGACCAACGAGCCATCGTGGCTCGGCGAGCGGCTTCGCGCCACTCGCGCACATCCTCGGGCGGAGGGCGAAATCCGCTCTCCGCCCGGGAGTCAGCCACTCGCCGATAAACTTCGGCGAGCACTTCCGCCTCCAAATCCCACGGGGGAGTTCCGGCCAACGCGCATGCCACCTCCGTAGAAACGGTGCGGTAACCGCGTATGGCTCTGACCGCCATTACCCTCTGAGGGCGCCAGAGGCGTACCCTATTCTGGGCGGTCAGAGCCGCCGCCCACACCGGTGCACCGTACAGCGCCATTGACCGGGCAACCCCCGTGTACAGCCGTCTTGTCGCGACGCTGGGTCCACCCATATTGGGCAAAAGTCGCCCTAGGGCAGACGCAGCGCCGACCAGCTTTGGAGCAAGCTGTCGGAAGTGCTCGTCGAAGAGCCACCTCCCGTCGAGGATCAGGCCCAGATATTTCATCTGGGCCCGAACCGGTACGAGGACCGAGTTGACCACGATTGAGGCGCCAGGGGGTGGACCACGACGGGGCCCATGGAATAACAGGGCCTCCGTCTTATCTAGGGCCACCCGTAAGCCCAGCGCCTCAATGCGCCCGACCACCAGGGATTACCTATACCAACCGATGCGGTGACGGTATGAATTGATTGGTAGTTTGTTGAGAGCTAAGGGGAAATACAACAAACTACCGAGTCAAGTTACACGATTACCATGCCTTCTTTTTCAAATCTATATCTTTACAAATAAATAAAATTGGAGTGTCTGTTTTTAATATTAAAATAACCGCTTTTTACTAAATGCATATGTATGTTAACACGGTACATATGCCAAAATATCATTTTTTACAATTTTTGTCTGTCTGTCTGTTTGTTCTGGGTAATCTCTAGAACGGCTAGACCGATTACGACGGGACTTTTACTGGCAGATAGCTGATGACATAAGGAGTAACTTAGGCTTCTTTTTTAGACTAGCTTCGCCCCGCGGCGTTGCCAGCGGTTATAACAACAAACGTGGGTAACACCACGGGTCTCAGCTAGTCTAATAAATATAAATTCTAATTTCTCATGTGGTGGATATGAGAAAAATATGTCCATTAGATTCGAACGGTTAGTAAATCGGTTAATGTATTAAATTATTATTAAATGACGCTCGCTAACCGTATCCGATTTTGTGGGAACATACTAATATAGTTTGTGCTTGTAGGTTAATTGATAAAGATTTGGTGTCGTGTCTCTTCGACTCGGTTCAGAATCAGTTGGTAGATAAATCAGTATTGTTCGGCCGCTAAAGCAGGAGCCGCAAGCGCAATGGTACGACTCGAAGTGCAGCGCGATCTTATGATACGGCTCAACCGGTTTTTAAACCACGGGCAAACCGATTCCACTCGGTTCAAGCTCAAACCGGTTAAATTGATTGAATAAGTGGAGTAGTCAACCACTAATTTAAATCCCAGTTTTGTTTTGTTTACCTATAGTGTAGGTACCGGAGTGATTTGTGTTTGATATTCTCCTTAAAATGGATACGGATGACATTGAAAATATTTTGGTCCTAAAGGATTATAAGACTGTGCCAGATATAGTTCATGAATATAGTCCTACATTAAAATTTGGCCATATACCTCTAGTCATTGATAATGGTTAGTAGGGTTTATTTCTATAGTATACTTACCATTAGAAACAGATAAGTTCATAATTACAGTGTTTAAAACTGTTCTAAGGTTCATATCAATGCAGAGTTGGATGGTCTATTAACGAAGAACCAAATTTAATTTTTAAGAATTATATTGCACGCCCAAGGAAGGATCGGTGTAAAAAGGATGCTGAACCACCTGTCACCCCACCGATACAGATAGGCAATGATATCGTTAATATAGAAGCTGTAAGGTAATCCCTTTGATATATTTGACTAAATAGTTAATAGGTTATGTTGTAAGGTTAGGTATGAAGTTTTTAAAATTGTGCTCTACTTCGCTTTATTTCAACACTGTTAGCTTTAAAAGAGTTGTAGCCCTACACTAGAAAAAAAACCTCAATCCATGACCCATAGATTGTAGGCTTAATTCCTATCCAAGACAAATAATTGTGTAATGAGCATGGACATTTGTTCTGTGTATTTTATCTATGATATATATGTATTTTCATTAAGTAATTTATAAGTATGTGGTTATACTCATGTATTGTAAACAACGTCACTGAACAAGACTACACGAAAATTGTAAACAACAACTTAGTGCTGTGGTTCAGTGGTGTTGTTTATCACATCATCACATCAACAGCCTTTAATAGTCCACTGCTGGACATAGGCCTCTCCTTAGAAAGAAGGTTTTGGCCTACTATACCACGCTGGCCAGACGGTTTGGTATAGGGTTTGTGTCAAGTTTTCCGTCTTTTTGCAGTGCTGGTGTCCTGCTTTGTTTTGCGCCCTTAGTCGGTTCTTACGACACCCACGGGATGAATTGGGGTAGTGACATTCCGTATTCTTAATCCGTCACTACACTGACAACGGTGTTGTTTATAATACATGGTTATAATGGCACACACTCTAATTTGGGATCAGACAGCAGTGTGTGATGTGTCAAGTTACTGGTACTATTATTCTTATAGGGCAGTCAAGCTTTACTTGCTGCAAAGTCTTCAGACTTATAAGAATCCGATACTTTCATAACAAAGGATATTGAAACCTTTATGTAAATGTTGATAATGTGCAGTGTGTTTGTCTTAAAACTATTATTGACATGTGACACATACAAATACACCTTTCAGGTTTCAGCTGAAAACACAATTTGATAAAAATGTAGTAACTCATTTTGAGGTGCAAGAGCAAGTGTTTGACTACATTTTTTCACATTTGGGCATTGATAGTGAAGGCAGTGTACCACACCCTATTGCTTTAACGGAAGCTTTTGTTACTCCGAATTACTGTAGACAATGTAAGTACATACTTTTATTGCGCAGTTTATAGTTGAAGTGGAAGAGTGAAGGGTTATTAGACAATGTATAATGATTGTAAGACAACAAGTCTATTTTATGTTATTTTATGCTGTGTTATACTTATTACAAAATTATTTAGCTTAATTTTTACTACTTACAAACTGAAAACATTATTTTATTAGTCCCAGCAGCCAATTACATTTTTTAGTAAGTTTTGATGCCTATGATTGTATGCTTAAGATTGAACTTAATACTAACACTTAAACTATCACATTTCATAATATGTACATAATACTGTGATGTGTGTCTAATCTATACTAATATTATAAAGCTGAAGAGTTTGTTTGTTTGTTTGTTTGTTTGAACGCGCTAATCTCAGGAACTACTGGTCCGATTTGAAAAATTCTTTCAGTGTTAGATAGCCCATTTATCGAGGAAGGCTATAGGCTATATATCATCACGCTAAGAGCAATAGGAGCGGAGCACCAATGAAAAATGTTTCAAAAACGGAGAAAATTTATTACTCGATAGACGCAGACGAAGTTGCGCGGGTCAGCTAGTATGAACATAATACTATAGTCTGATATAAAATTTAATTTCATTAAAACTTTAGTAAATAAGTCAGTAACTGAATGTTCTTTTTAAATGTGGTTTAAGTACACTGTTAAACAATATTCCTAATCTTCATGGACTTCAGTAAATTTTTACTATATTGAAATAAAAAAGGCCAAAGCTAAAATTCTTAGGTTACAGTGGCAAATGTTATTGTATTTTGCTGACAGAATATTCTACCTAACCATGTTTTTGATAAAAAAAAAGCAATCTCTGATAAGACATTCTTCAAAATAATGTTACACTATTTTTTATTTACAGTAATGTCTGAGCTATTGTTTGAGGGTTATGGAGTTCCCGGAGTAAGTTATGGGGTGGATTCATTATTCAGTATGTATAAGAATGACATTGGGGATTCAGCACTTATTATAAATTGTGGCTATCATACTATTCACATAATACCTGTGATCAGAGGACGGGTTATTGAGGAACATGCCAGAAGAATTAATTTGGGTAAGAATAAGTTCATTTTTTTTATTACTAATTCTATTTATAAAAAGTTTGACAATCAGTTCTTTGTTTAATGAGCAGAAGCTTACAATTTAATGATTGACCAACAGCTAGTAAAACAAAATTTATTAGTGATTGTCTATACCTTTGAGTATGTCATCTTTATCATTTCCAGGTGGTAGTGAAATAATATGCTATTTACATAAGCTTCTTCAACTGAAATATCCAGTTCATGTGAATGCCATCACCATGTCTAGAGCGGAAGAAATTGTTCATGAGCACAGTTCAATTGCACTTGACTATCAAGAAACAATCAAGAAATGGGCAAACCCTGATTACTATGAAGCTAATGTGATGAGAATACAGCTACCTTATGTGCAAACTGTAACTTCATCTGGGTTGACAGGTATTTTTGGCCAATTGACAGGTATTACACACACAAATTGTTCCACAAATTGTTGTTCTGAGTCTGGATGTACTTTGCGTCCGTTTCTTGTATGTTTGTAAAGTCCCCCGCGACACAGGAGTTATTCCTAGTGCGGGAGTTGCCTTTTACATAAAAAAATTGGTTGCCTGTAAAGTCGGTATATGGGCGAAAGTTTTCCGTGACAACGACTATGTCTGTCTCTCTCGCTCTTAGGCGGGCTAACCATGCCCGATTGGAAGGGACGCGTGCCTCTCACTCGCTCTCATTGTGAGCGCATAACGTGAGCGGAGCGTAACGCAGTTTCTTGAAGTGTCACCCGGCAAACCAATTTATAAGACGTTGTCACGTCAAAAAAAAAAAACATATCTATCCCATTCATGTAAAATTCCAGTGCACTTCACTAAAGCACTGCTCGGCCTAACACCAACTGTATCTATTTGCAATAGATTAAATGTTGCCGATCTCTGCTTGCTTTACACTTCCGTGGTCGAGTATGTATATAATAGTACAAATAATTATATTAAATAAGCATGTATGTATATTGTACATAAACACTATCAAAATTTAACTTTTTTTAGCTGAACAGCAAAAGGAGCGTAAAAAAGAAATGGCTCGTCGATTACTAGAAATCAATGCAAGAAAACGTGAGGAACGACTAGCAGATGACGAAGAAAATTTGAATCATTTACTTGCAATAAAAGTAAAAATTTACTTACATCCTTATTATTCAATTAACTTATCCAATAACATTTCTAAGTATAAGTACCAATTTGTTGAGAATTCAAAATATAAAGAAGTTATCTCTTTTAATGAGATTGTCCAATTAGCATACATTAATTAAATTGCCATGGTCAGTGGTGTATCATACTGTATTAGATTTATTCTGGATATATACTAATGGTAAACTGTATGTGTGTATTTATGTAATAATTTCAGGATATGATTGAAGACGGCGATACAGATGAATTCAACGAAGCAATAAAAGGTTTTGATATTAAAAGTTATGAGGATCTTCAGGTAATACACCACACATTTTTTTAGCGTTTTATTATTTTGTTGCAGGCGTTCATGGTCGGCGATAGTCACTTTCCATTAGGTGACCCGTGTGCTCGTTTGCCCCCCTCATCCATAAAAAATACTTGAGTATTACCTTCGCTGATGCATGCATGTGGTTTTGTGGGAGCACATTAAAAAATGTTGTATTTTCTTTTAGTACAGAAACTGTTATTTTAGCAACTGAAAACGATGCCATATACTGTTACATTTATTACAGTTATGTAAGTAATATCAGCACCGCGTGAGTTAGTATCAATAGGTTAGAGTCAAAAGGACGGTGTTCCATAGCTCTCCGTCAGAGTGCCTATCTTTTTTGCGTCCACGTTATGTTTTTGAACTTAGATGCGATAAAACTACGTGCAACACTGTTGCTTACTGACAGATTCAGTTTCGACAAGTTGAAGCTGCCACGACTCAGTCTGCTTGTACTACTCTGCTAATTGCAATACAGCTACCCCCACATTTTACTTTATTAGCTTGGAATGGATGTATGGAACGGAATCTTCGAACGTGATTTTGAACCACTTCTAATCGTCGAATCAAATTGATACTTTGCACATTTATCAAGGATTAATGACAAACATATTTTGATAAATGTGGCCGATTATCCTGATCAGGATCTTCAGGATTTCCATACCGGCGTAGCTTTCCAAGGACTTCTCAAGTTGGGGTTGATATTTTTTTACAGAAAGGTTACATTGTTATAAGCACACACGCAAAGTTTCAACATGGGTGGAGACCAGTAGTTTTTGAGAAAGAAATAGTGAAAATCAATGTCAATGCCGAAAAGTTGTACCTCCATACTTAAAAATACGGTAGTGTCTTTTGTTAAGTACTAAGAAGCGAGTGCTGAAGCATATGTGACTTACTTACTTGTTACTTTTTAGTCTTAATGAGAAAATATCATCATCGTTAATAAATTAAGTCAAAAATAAATTATAATTTAGAATAACACGCTTTTGTAACTAGCTGAATTAAAAGTAGAAAATATATTTCATATAATTTCAAAAAGAAAAATCATTTTATCGTAAAAAAGCGTGGAGGACTTTTCAAGATATTTTATAAAATAATACCACCCCATGCATTTTTATGAAAAAATGTTTTTTTCTTTTGAACCTATAGAAAATTATTTTCTACTTTTTAGTTGGCCTAGTTACAAAAACGTGGTTTCTAGTTCTCTTAAAATATATAATAATGTATCTTTTTTGTATAAAACGTATACATTTTTTTCTTTCCCAAAATAATTGTGTCATATGTCTCTTTAATTAAATAGAATAGAACATTTCGTTAATTGTATCACAGCTCCATCTTTATTCAATTCGAAGAATAACCTACTTCACTAATAGCGCGTCTTTAATTTAGTTAAATTGAAGATTTATTAAGAGTTCCTTTACTGCGAAACATGTAGGTCTAATGTAATATTTATGTGCAGAGACAAATAACGAATATTAACATGCGCATAGAAAAAAACAAGCAGCGCATTGCTGCGGCTGCGACGGCCGAAGAGAACTTGGAGACTCGTCCGGCAGGTCGTTTGAACCCTCCTACTGAACCGGAGGCCTTTCAGGCCTGGCTCACTGATACTCGTGCTAAGGTCAGTATATTTTACGTATTATTTTAGATTTTATTTTTTTAGACCTTTAAATGTCACTGCATACATCAGAAATGAGCTTTTGTTGTTCTTAGGGGTGATGTTCGATGCAGTGATCAATGGCTTAGTGCAGACAGCAGTCAGATATTTCTTCGGTATCTATAATTCTAGAAAATAAAATCGTATAATCGTACTGTTCTTTTACATCAATTTAAGTAAACAGTCGCCAAAAGATATATATTATGTAGACTCATCATTTTCTAGTCATTTTATGTCAACAACAGCTTTTTACCAATTACCTATGTTAAATGTTATAATTATATATTATTATCTTTGGGGCCTGTAAAGCAGAAAAGGGGCGGTCATTAATTATTGTGGTGATTTCGGCGATTTTTTAAACTCCCTGGTGAGCTATAATGAGATTTGGCTGAAGAGATATTTGAAATGCTTATTTCTAGTGTAAAATTATTTAATGCGTTAGAGTTATTACTAGACTTGCAACGAATATTCGGTTACTATTCGGTATTCGGCCTATTCGGCTGCTTTTATTATATTCGGCCGAATACCGAATATCTACATATTATTCGGCCGAATACCGAATACTTAAATAATATATATTGTCATTGAGAAATAATTGGTAAAATGAAAAATTAAAATCGATTGATTACGTATATATTCATATTTTCATTTCTGTTATAATCATTTAAGTACATAATCATATTTATGTACATAATCATCTTCTGAATAGGAAAAATGGAGGATTCTATGTATTTGAATTATTGTGGTAATCAAAATTTAGAAGGGTAAGGTTCTCATTTCTTTTATAATCATTTATTAAGTAGTCATTGGTACATAATTTAATAATTTAATTCACGTCTGTACAAGTTTTTGGCGCTAAAATCCAGCCGAATACTTTTGCCTAATATTCGGCTATTCGGTCAGGGGCCTCGCCGAATATTCGGTATTCGGTATACTGCCGAATATACTATTCGTTGCAAGTCTAGTTATTACATAATTTATTTTATTATTTTTATTTAGAACTAGTGATTATTAGTATTTAAGACTTTCTTGAATATAAAAAATAGGATTAAATAAGAAACTAATTTTGGAATAATGATTCAGTCCATTTACTCACTCAACTTGAGCAATAAATATTACTTGTTAATATATGCCGAAACCCCCTCTCCCCCCCCCCTCCCACTTCTACTCTAAACGAGATGCCGCTCAACCCCCTCCCTCTCTTAACATCTCACTCACTTTTGCTTCGAAAAATTTCGAAAACAATGTGCATGGCAAATTTTCTAGTATCGAGAGTTAGTGGCCCGTCGCGAGGCTCGGCGTGCACGCCGTGCCGCTATGGTCAAGCGTCGAACGGCGGCGGCTGCGGAGCGTATGCGTGTTATTTCACGCCTCGCGGCAGCTGGCGATGACTTCGGGAATCAAGACTCAGACTGGGATGCTTATAAAAGGTACTTGCAACTTTCTATTACCCAAAATAAGTATAAGTAATTATTCGATTTGTAAATATTACAATACATGTTTTTATTTTTACGGTAAACTAATTAATTGGTAAGTCAGCTAGCTATAGACCATCTTCAACGCTGAGTGCACGGCAGTCTGCCACGTGTTTTTACAGCTATTTCGTTATAACTCGTTATCCATATTAGGTATACAAAATTGCAAAATCTTACTTCAAGACGTTACTATGTGTTAACGCATATACTGTTTCCGACAACGGGCTTACTTAGGAAGCTAATTTCGTTTTTGAGAAAATGTTTTATAACTTTTAAGTGTTGCAAAATTAATGAAAAAAATGTAGATGAGCTACAAAAGGCACAAATTCTGCCTACCTTACACAGTCACAGAAAAAATCTGAGGTTGAAGCAATCGAAAGCCAAAGATATGTAAATTAATGTTAATTAGGACCAAATAAAAATAATGTCTTAATTTAGGTATGAGCATATATTTCTATTGTTTTGTAAAGTAAAATTGTGAAAAACGTTGTTGGCTACACCATTATAAATACCTACTTGAATTTTAGGACGCTAGACTAAGAAATTTGTGTAACTGTTTTCATAAATAAATATATTAGCAAACTTCACTTTTCTATACAATGGGTATTAATATATTATTATTATGTATTTGCTTAAACATTTCAGTATAAGTCGTGAAGCGGACTCTGATTCCGAGGCCGATGGCGAACGTGTGTTGGAGTTAGAAGAAGCATTGCGCGAGTACGAAACGCCTCCGGCTAATTCTAGCCAACATCATCAACTACATTTAGCTATTGAACCTTTTAGGTAAATATTACGTGAAAAACTGGTAACTTTACTACCCGTAAGAGAAAAACGAGACTGCTATTTAGCCCCTTTCGATCGATCCTTACATTTCACGAGAACTCTATTTCAATTTTATGTTAAAAAACAATCATCATCATCAACGGCCTTTAATAGTGCAGTGCTGTCCTGTTGTCGTGCCAGTTAAAAAAAGTTTGTACCAAATTGTCTAATAAATCAACATTTATACAAAAGTCACACTTAATAGACTTAAATATGTCCGTCCGTATGGATTGAGGGGCCACTTCAGATTTTAAACGGATTTTTAACGGAAACTTACACCTTATGTGAGCAAATAATTTTGTAGGATAAATCCTGAAATTTGTAGTAAGACATATCCAAAGTGGCTCCTCAATCTAGACATCTGAATTAAGGAGCCACCTGAAACACGAAAAGTAATAAAAAAATATTTTTGAAAATTTTGTATCATTAAGTAGTAATTGTGTATAGTGCCTACTAAAAATATGAATTGATATTCAAGAATATACAATGCTTTTAATGTGGCTCCTCAATCTATATTTAAGAGCGTGAATTGCAATGAGTGTTAGGTCAAAATTTATATTCCAGTCCAAAACCATTTAGTAGCAAGTGTGTTTGAATTTGTAGTATTAGGAGAAAGTAGTAAAACTGAGTGGATTTTATTTGGCTCCTCAATCCTGACGTTCTGCATAATTAATAATCGACTGTACCTACCTTTTTTTTTTTTTTTTTTTCTCTTTTTTCCGTGCGGAAATCCCCTCGGATACCACCTGTCGGTGGCATGTCGGACTCGAACCGACTAAAACCGCACGCCTTCGCCGGGTACTAATAGCCGGGGAACCAGGTATACCCTAGAAAGGAAGTCCCTGGTGCCCCGATATACCTCGGGTCATCTACAGACGAGTAAACGACCCCCCCCCGTGTTGGAACCCCCATGTTCCCTGTGCTCCCTGGAAGCGAGCGCGCTTCACATCGCGCTCGCCGCCACCCCGGCCTGCTTCTGCTAGGGTGACAGATGGCCTCACCTGTCACCCCCAGGCCTGCGCTTATGGAGGACGGAGGTCGTTCGTCGACCTCCGGCGCCTGAGTCGCCTGCGGTGCCTGGCCCGTTGTATGTATGGTCTGAGCAGCCACATCTATAGTGTATGGTAACTTTTTTATTAACTTATGGTAACTTCATTTATGTGACTGTAACGTAAGATGGATAAAAGATAAACGTTGTCAAATATGTGCTCTGCATCAATGTAAATTATTGAAAAACAAAAATGGACGAATATTAAATGAATTTATAATAAGGACACTCCCGAGCCGCACCTTGTCTGTATTTTAAACCTTCTTCTTAACTTTTGTTTCGACTTCAATTCCTAGAGCCCCAGAACTGATGTTCCAACCGTCCATGATGGGCAACGTAGAAGCTGGTTTAGCAGAAACGATGGAATACGTATTCAAGCATTTCAGTTCTGAAGATCAGATGTTATTAGCCAACAATGTGTTCCTCACTGGAGGCTCTTCCCAATTTCCAGGTGAGTATTTCTCTTCGCTTATGTCTTCTTTTTAAAGCACTTCGTCCAAGGCTTCGCTCGTAAAGGTGCAAGGTGATAAGCAAAGGAAATCTTTTAGTGAGTTAAAACTATTAATCTAACTATTCATAACCGAGATAGTAAATGCCAGTGGATTCTTGATATAGATGGAACAACATAGATAGTTCTTTGTGGACATCTTTAGCGCAGGTTTAAATTAAATCGTAGCAACAAAACTTAACTAACTATATATTTTAACAGAATAGTGCTGGAATATTCAGCTATTTATTAGGTGTGAAACTAGATTCTCGTTGTTTTTGATAAGAAAGAAACTATTTAGCGAATAAATCGCTCCGTATATCATATTCTCAAAAGACCACAATCGTAATGCACCACATTCGCAAAACACGATATTCGCAAAAAATCATATTCTCATAACATCATATTCTGAAAATAATTATCTTCGAAGACCACATTCGCAAAACACAACATTCACTACACATCATATTTAAAAAAAAGGTGAAAAAGTACACTGGGCTCCAAAAAAAAAATATCGACGGGCGGCGTTATGCACCAGTACAAATAGTAAAATCTACATACGAAACCTCTTAAACTTATCGGCCGGCAATTATTTTCTCTTACGAATAATAATGACATTATATCATCAATATGTCATATTTTATTGCAATATCTTGTAGTATTAATATTTCATGTGAGACAAATTCTGAAAATGGATCTACCCAGTCGCAGTAAAAGTAAAATTAAATTCATAAGAAGTAAAAAAAAAACAGAATTACTACATTGAGTACCAGTATTAATTATGACTAATAAAAAGATAAGAAGTGACATATTATGCTGTCATGACCACGAGAATAGAACAACAAATGGTGTTGGGGGTTGCCATCGCCGAACCAACATGTATAGTATGAACGTTCCAGTTCATATCATTGCTAAAAAAGAATTACTAAATATGAAACTAAATATGAAATGTAAAACGATGTCAATTATTGTGTAAAAAAAAAACAATATGCGTTCAAGTGTGTTTGAAACACTTATGCTCTAATGCAATTGGCACATAATATAACAATAATAAGGACTAAGAAACAAATACTTATTTAAAAGAAATAATTTATCAAGATATTCTTTTTTTTGTTTTGTTATTTCATTAAAAAAAATGAAAACATGTAACATATTGCCAGAAACTGTACTTTGAATGTGGTATCACAAGAATGTTGTTTTGCGAATGTGGTTTTCTAAAATCATGATATTTTGCGAATCTGACATTATGAAAATATGATATTCAGCGACGGAGCGGAATAAATGGTTACAAATTATTCATTCTAAGTATTGCGTCGCTCGCTACAAATTTATACCATCTCTTTACAGAGCTCGATTATTGTTACTATAAAAGTGTTCATCTTTTGAGGCTATCCACGAATCAAGCCTGTTTTTGATGTCTTTATATGAGCGGCACTGCGGAGCAACCAGATCATGTGCCATCAAACCGCACAAGTTGAAAGTGGACGGCGTGATATCTGGGGAATATCGCGGGTGGGGTAGGAAGTTCTATTTGAACTTTACTAGGTAGTTTTTAATGGGTTTGGTCGCGTGAGGCTGAACGTTGTCGTTGTTTTTGTAGAATCACTTTCTTGTCTATTTTTCGCGTAGTTCTCGCCTCAATCACATCAATTGAAGTCGATACCGTTGCTCAGCGATGGAAATGAGAGGATGTTGAAATCTACAGAAATGTAGATTTCAACAGGAGATAGTAAAGAGATCCGTTCTGGTCTTATCAAATATAAGAGAAGATAATGCAATATTTCACTCAGCTGACGAAGGACCCAAGTTAATTGCTTTTGCAACGTTCTCAACGTAAAAAATAATGTCGATAATAGTCATTTAAATGTTATAGAATTTTTTTATTTTTTTTTGCACTTATAGTTTTGTTCGTTAATATAGAAAATGATTTTGTTTGTTAAACAAAATCATTTTCTGCTGGGGTAACGTTACCGCAGCCAGACAACTTCTTTTTTAATTGGAATGTTGAAATAAATATTAGCTACATAATAAGTTGTCTAGACAAGGTAAATGTTGCAACTTATTTTGTATTTGTTTTTTCTTCGGCTGCGACGTTATTTGAGATCCGGATCTCTGAAACCGGTAGGCGGATTCTTATCATTTTTTGTATCCATTCTTAACATCTTTGAATAGGAACTCTAAAGACTCACTTTAAACGTTATTTAGTATGTTGTAACATTTTTTTTTTTGCTTGTCTTTTATGTATGTGAATTTTCATAAGTATCCTGTAAGTAATTAACTAATTATGATGAAATGTAGATCTCGCGCGGTATCATTTGGCCACTGATAAACCTATGTGAATATATAAACTGAATGTTAAATCAATAATTAGTTGCTAAGTACATACAATGATTAACGAGAATATAAAATAAAAGTTATTAGAAAGTGCAAGTCCATGGCAACCAGACCTTGTTTAGGTGGTTTCGACAAAGCGATCGCGTAGTAAATTATGCTGCCTTCTAAAATGATTCGTATAATAGGTACACCTTACGAATTCGGAACAGACGCATAGTGTTAAATACATAATATTTATGCATTATTATTAGTGTGGTGGTTTGGTGACGGATTAGGAAAACAGAGTGTCACCACCCCTTTTTGTTTTTTTTTTTTTTTTTTCCGTGCGGAAATCCCCTCGGATACCACCTATCGGTGGCATGTCATATCGGTGGTGGTAATAGCCGAAGAACCAGGTATACCCTAGAAAGGAAGTCCCTGGTGCCCCGACATACCTCGGGCCATCTACAGTAGACGACCCCCCCCGTGTGGGAACAACATGTTCCCTCTGCTCCCCGGAAGCGAGCGCGCTTCGCAACGCGCTCGCCGCCACCCTGACCTGCTTCTGCTAGGGTGACAGATCGCCTCACCTGTCACCCCCAAACCTGCGCTTATGGAGGGCGGAGGTCATTCTGCGACCTCCGGCGCCTGAGTCGCCTGCGGTACCTGGCCCGTTCCCGGGCCGGGAGAGTTCTAAACCTCTCCCGGTCCCGCTCCGCCGTCCGAGCATAACTTGCTCGCAGAAGGAGACGGCAGAGTTCCACGCACTCTCGCTCCGCACGATAGCCGCAATCAGGCTCTCGAGCGAGAGAACTCCCACTCCGATGGCCGCCACGAGGTCTCGCCTCTGCTCAACCCACGCCGGGCACTCTGCCAGCGTGTGGAGAGCCGTGTCCACGGTCTGGCCATCGCAGTGGTGGCACTCAGGCGTTGGCTCCTTGCGGATCAGACACAGGTGATCCCCGAAACATCCTTTCCCAGTGATCACCTGCGTCAATCGGTATGAGAGGGTCCCGTGACGCCTCTCGAGCCAATCCTCCATAACGGGTCTTACCGCCGCGATGACGGCGTGCCCGACACCACCCCTATTCATCCCGTGGGTGTCGTAAGAGGCGACAAAGGGATCAAACTACGCAGGATAACAGCACTGCAGAGAGAAGGAAACTTTGACACAAACCCTTTTTTTTTTTTTTTTTTTTTTTTACGTGTGGAAATCCCCTCGGACCGTCACCCCGCCGGGGCTCTCGTTCGGCGGGGCGGTGTGTCGGACTCGAACCGACTAAAACCACACGGTGTGCCCTCTTTGCGCTTCCAGTTTAGGAAGGGTCCAGGTACCTATCTCCTTCTGGACCCTTCCCAGCGCCGGCCCGCTCCTGGCGCGGGCCCCGTCTCAGTGGACCCTCTCTTTAGGCGGCGTCCGGCACACGCGGACGCCGCCCCCTCGCGGCTGGCCAACTAATGCGGGTGGAGGGGAGAACCCATCCCGTCCACCCGCGGCCACACTCAGGGCGGCATGAGGCGCAGGTGAGCGCGCGTCCGCCGCCCGGTTCGCCGGCGGCGGATCAGGTCCGAGTGGAGGTCGTCCTCCCGGGCCTTCTCCGCCGCCTCCTTCTGCGAGATTACCTCCTCGCAGAAGGTTGCGACCGCGGTAAAACAACTGTCGCTACCGGCCATGGAGCGAATTACGGCCGGTAGCGAGAGATCTGCTCCGATGACTGCAGTGAGGGCCCGGCGCTGCGTCGCCCATGCGGGGCAAACCGCCAGCGTGTGCTGGGCCGAATCCTCACCGCAGTCGCAGTGGTGGCAGGCGGGACTGGATCCCCTTCTAGCGACCGAGTACAGGTACTTTCCGAAGCAACCGTGCCCAGAAAGCACCTGCGTCAGCCGGAAGGAAAGGGTCCCGTGCTGCCGCCCTGCCCACTCGGCGATGACCGGCTGGAGAGCCTCCACGGCGGCGAAGCCAGCGCGTGGAGTCTCCAGCCGGAACGACCATCTCACCATAGTGGCTCGGCGAGCGGCTTCGCGCCACTCGCGCACGTTTTCGGGCGGAGGGCGAAATCCGCTCTCCGCCCGGAAGTCAGCCACTCGCCGATAAACTTCGGCGAGCACTTCCGCCTCCAAATCCCACGGGGGTGTTCCGGCCAAGGCGCAAGCCGCCTCGGTGGACACCGTGCGGTATCCGCGTATGGCTCTGACCGCCAATATCCTCTGGGGGCGCCAGAGGCGCGCCCTATTCGGGGTGGTCAGAGCCACCACCCACACCGGTGCACCATAAAGCGCCATGGACCGGACAACCCCCGCGTACAGCCGCCTCGTGGGAACACTGGCCCCGCCCAAATTGGGCAAAAGTCGCCCTAGGGCGGAGGCAGTACCCACCAGCTTCGGACCAAGCTGTCGGAAGTGCTCGTCGAAGAGCCACCTACCGTCTAGGACCAGACCCAGGTACCTCATCTGGGCCCGGACCGGTACGAGGACCGAGCCGACCTCGATTGAGGCGCCGGCGGGTGGACCACGACGGGGCCCATGAAATAATAGGGCCTCCGTCTTATCCAGGGCCACCCGCAAACCCAGCGCCTCAATGCGCCCGACCACCAGGGAAACTCCCGTGGCGGCCAGGCGCGCCGCCTCCTGGAAGTTAGCCCCCCGGGCCG